AAGTTTTATTTTTTAACGAAAAAAAGTTTTTATTTTGCACCACAGCCTTTGAATTCAGTAGACCACAGTCAGACAGTTCCAGGCGCAGATTCGAGAAATTAAAATTTAGTGCATTCCAGTAGCGAGTCGGATTGGAGTTTCAAACTCGGTTTAAATATTTTTTTGGTCACAGTAGTAAGCTGCAGATTGGGTATGGGCAAGCATTTCCAGTGATTTTAAATAAATATGTATTGTTCTACTATACATATATACGAAATATGAAAGTTTTATTATTTCTTTTTGATGAATTCAACATACATGTAATGACAGTAATGTAATTTCTAAGGATATTTACAATAATATTAACCTACATTGTAATAAAAATTAGAGCAGTGTTGGCCTAGAGGTTCGATCCCCGGCTGTGCACTAATGGAATTTCTTTCTATGTGCGCATTTAACATTCGCTCGAACGGTGAAGGAAAACATCGTGAGGAAACCGGCTTGCCTTAGACCCAAAAAGTCAACGGCGTGCGTCAGGCACTGAAAGCTGATCACCTACTTGCCTAATAGATTACAAAATGATCATGAAACAGATACAGAAATCTGAGGCCCAGACCTAAAAAAAAAAGGTTGTAGCGCCATTAATTTATTTTTTGTAATATTTATTAATAAAAATTACTAAATTAATTAGATTTTTTTTAATAGATATATAATATCTCTAAATAATTATCAATAGTAATTATTATAAGTCCATATATTGTTAGTAGAGTAATACTTATGTTAGTAAAATTCAAATAAAATTATCAAAATTATTAAAATATTTAAACATTTAATTCATAAATCTACGTTGATTCGAGGCACCACTTAATACACAAATATATAGTTTTAAAAAGTGACCTATCTTATAAAATGTGTAAATTATACATTTATTTGACAAAAAACCTATAATTAAACGAAGTCACAGCCAACGACTAGTATTCAGAGACATTTAAAGCTCACAGAAACGTTATTAATTTGACAATATTGTGCCTCTGGCATTATTAACTTTTAGAAATGGTTCAAATATCTAATTCGCTTTGTAGTAAGGATTCAATTGAAAACGACAAATTATTACCTCTCGTTGCTAGATATTTCCTAAAATATGTAATCAAATTATTGCCTAAGGAATTTAGACATCACTTACGTAACATTTAATAAGTTATATTACATAAAAAGTCTTTTAGAGCCATTCGTGATTGTCTTCTATTTTTCTGAAGATCTCTAATATCGGTTAAGTCAGTGTGATAACTGAGTCTCGTCGATGATTTAGTCTGAACAATGTCATGATAATTCCAATATCCAATTAGCACATATAGCATCCACGGTATTCTTCAAATTTGAAGCCCTATTTCCTGCTCTCAGACCTCAAGAGAATGCTTGCTGGACAGAAATTTTGCTCCGAAGTGATCGCCGAAACTGAAGTCTTTTTTGAGGCTAAAGACAAATCGAACTATAAAAATAGTATCGAAAAGTTGTATGATCGCTTTACGCCCGAACCCAATAACCTATCTCAATAAATGAGATAGTAATCTTAATCCAAATGTAGTAGCAAGTGAGCCAATAACCAAACGACGGATTGTAATAGCCATCTGTCGATACAAGCTATCCATGGGAGGTCGTATCGTCTGTCTGTGGATAAACCTTTGTATGAAAATGACAGTTGATGAAAGCTCGATTTCAACAGTTAATTATTTTAACAGATTTTAAGTTACACCAGTTTTTTAAATAATTAAAAAATCTGTTTGTTATGTTTTAACATACACATGTATATTTTAATGTTATTTGTACGGTTTTATTTACTTTATTTGGTTTACATTGATTATCAAATATGAGTGAAAATTCGGATGGAACGACAAAAAGCATTTTATCCGTCGCCAAAAATGGATTGTCTTAGGGTTTGCTTATTAGGATGCAGAAGGAGATCGAGCGACTGTCACGGTTAATTAATCCATAATCTCAGATTGAAAACAATCTGAAATTGTTGGAGGGTTCGGCTGTTAATCGTTCGCTCTCGAAGAATTAAGAAGAAAGAAAGAAAAAATGTTTTTTTCTATGTTAGCCTACGAATTTCAGCCCACCGATTGCATAAACTACCTCACCAACGTCTAACGTCCTGCTTCTGTATTTGTCTATAATATAGAGTAATCTATGTTATGATCATATCTGAATAGCCCAGCCCTAAACTCTAAAATCAATAACATTTTCGGAATTCCGTCTGCAAAAACCAACCTAGGAGTTCAAGCACCTCTCATTTGAACTCTTCGTGATTTTAACTGATTAAACAGTACTTATCCGGAGCTGGATATATTCTTTAGTGGGCTGGTCAATTTTAAAGATCCTCTGTTTTGCTGGTATTTTTTATTGTGCTTTACAAAATTTTCTGGTATTTTTATTTTATCTTGTATATACTTCAAGTGTTTTTTTATTTTTTAATTTTAACATTTATGTTTACCTAAGTTCCCATAAATTTTAGATAAAAGAGTTTGTAACATATACTGCAGATATAGTAATATGTATATTTAAGCAGGAAAGTCACGAATTCGGTAATAATTCAAGTAGCAGCAAAATTAAGCAATAATGTTCGGTAGGGACACGGCAATAGCCCAACAACGGTTTCATTAAATCTTTGCAATAAGGCAATTTACGTATTTTAAAAAATCTACTCGCAAACTGTTGGTGACAAAAAACAAATGCATCGAATGGCGTCTGAGGTTTATTCTAAAATTTATGTAACGACCTGGATTTCTATCCGCACGATAAATTACAGTTTTCACTGGAAAATAAAGAGATTTCTCCAAATGTTTGAATTCAGCTTTTTTAGAATATTAAATATTATTTTCATTATACAACTCAAATTAGCTTTTGGTAGAAATTTAAAGCAGATGGGATTTAATAATTGTTTCAAACGACTTCTTTTTCATAGACTTAACGAATAATAATATCATTGATGCATATAACAACACCCACCGTACTCCAATTTTTGAAGTGAAACTTCTTTATCGGGGTTGGAAAAAAATTTTGTGTAACATTTTTGCGTTACGCGTCCGTTACGCGCCATGTTGCTTTTTGAAGTCAAACTTCTTTATCGGCGTTAAAATATGACATACAGTATGTTGGTCCCAAAGTTCTGTCACTGGCACATTATTTCTAATTTCGACAGGATTTTATAAAAAAGTTATTGCATCATTTTGAGTTGACATTTTATAAAAAACAATAACTTTCAGTAAGTTTTCACGACGAGTGGAATTGAAGAGACCGAATAGGTATTGTGTTGACCGCGTGGCCGGGTACCATTTTCAGTTGCTCAAAAATTTTAATATAACGTAGGTTTGTGTACGGTACTATTGATAGGTACCTTGAAGTCCAGTGTTGAGGACAAGAAAATAACTGGCCGGCCACGCTACGCAAGAACACCAGCAGTAATCAAAGCTATCAAAGCGTGGATAGTAAGAAATTCTGTCCGAAAACAGAAGTTGATGGCTTTGCAGATGGTTGTCAGTAGGAAAACAATAAAAAGGTTTTAATGAAGATCTTGGTCTACGAGCATACAAAAAAAAGTGGGAACTTACTTAGCTCGCTAAGCAATAAGGCTTAAGAGATCGCGGGTGTTGTTTAAGCGGTACGCGAAAAACCGACACCGTATATCCTCTTTACGGACGAAAAAAATTTCGATAATGAAGAGAAGTACAATAAACAGATTGAAAGTGTACGCTAGAGTTTGAAGAAGCTAAAAATAAAGTTCCAAGGGTACAACATGGACATCATCCATCATCAGTAATGGTTGGTTGGGAGTGTCCTTTAGGGTACTGAGGTTCATTTTTGCAAAGGGGTCAACAGAGCTAAGTGAGAGACGGTGGGCTTGTCAAAGACCTTCCAGCACCCTATTTGCGGGACATCACTGTGTTCAGCAGTACTTGAGCCTGCATACAAAGCCAAACCACTAAAGCCTGTTTGAGCGTCAAAACATCGATTTAATTGACATGGGTGCCTTCCTCCAGTCCGGACCTTAATCCTTTGGACTATAATTTTAGCAGGTCTTAGAGAGGAAGGCTTAACACCCCTAAATTTGGAGAGTCTGCAGTCGTCTTTAAAAACTCATCACTGAAACGACATGAATGGTGGTGCTGGTAGACGACTCCGCGGGTAAGGGCTGTTTAAAATAAGGGAGGTCATTTCGAATAAGTTTTGCTATTTCTATTCCTTATAAGATATGAATTGATATATCACTCATTAAAAACTGCAGTATTTTGTTTTTATGATATTTCCATTTGACAGAACTTTGGGACCGACTAGTATAGTATGTTTTTGACTTTGAAGTTTGACAACAGATTACATTTTCGACTTGAAATTTGCTAATCGCAATTTGCAGCAATTAATTTGTAAATTGTATGCTAGGCAGTGTATCAAAATTTACTGTGTTTAAAGAAATAGTTTCTAATAAGGTCATAAAGAAGTTTCACTTCTTACGTGTGTACACCAGGTACACGCACACATTTTTTTTTTATTAGGTACCTTTAAAATAAGCTATACCATCGACATAAGCGAGTGTTTGAATGTTGTTGTATATAATTAATGTTTTATAATGTGACTAGATTTCCCTTAACAATCTTACAAACACTTGATTTCCCCGCGGCTGCTATTTAATGAGTATCATTTCTTACGTGAGTTATTATTTCATTAAATTCTTATGTGGCTAATAAATAAACAACGCTAGTAAACATTAGTATATATTTACAATTATAAACACAATTTACAGAAACCATACTTAATTTAACTAATACTTAATTACAACTATTGCAGAAAATATATTTAATAAAGCTGTTTTGGCGTATAACTTTAAAATGCCTAAGCTAACCTAAGAAAATCTCATGTGTAGATTGATCGTACAGTTCGAGCATACAACTAAATTGTCGAAACAAGTATGTATGTGCTGGGATAAAATATCATAGAAAATACTTTTAAAAACGATTATTTATAATAATTCATTTTCCAATATGGAACGTGAAAAAGCCGCTTGATTCTGTATAAACATCATTTAAATATTCCATTACCTTATCATTTAATAATCTGGGAGCGTCTATTGCCCATAAGTAGTCTAAGTGATTGAAATTTGGATCTTGTATTTTATATATCTTTGACGTTGACGGCAACTTCTCATACAAGGATTTTACATCTTTCTCACTCGATAGTAAATCATTTTCGGCCCATACCAATGTGATGGGTAGTGTTATTTTACTTAGGTCGTATTCAGGTGGGGTATCAGAATCGTACAATCTCTGGTTGTTCGATCCATAGTCAAACTGCTGAAATTTCCCGCCCGCCATGACCTCTTGCGCAAAATGAACGGCCGTTTTCCAAGACGTACCAGTACCCAGGTTGTTCATAAATATAGGTAATAATGTCTTATTAAACTGTTTCTCGTTGTAACCACAGATATAAAAAATCATATTTTTACAGGCTAAAGATTCCATATTCTCTGCGTCACAGGAACTTGATATTCTTCTTAGGGCCGATTTCTGTGGTAAAAACTCATGCGAACCATACAACATTTCCATGTAAGCTACATTACTCGTAATAGGGGCTAGTGATTTCATAGGGGATTTAATATCAGACAAAAATACGACCGGCGCTAGTGCAAAGGCCGCCTTTAACTTGGAGTTATATTCCGGTCTCAAAGTCAGCATCGCGAATAAAATGGTTGTGCCCATGGAATGTCCAATGTATGTTACTTCAGCATCTTCCTTCATAGTAGTAATGTAATCTATGATAGAAGGAATATCGTACAGAGCAATATCATGCCAGGAAAAATTCCAGTATGATTTAGAATTAGTTTTAAGCCAGACGTGTTCTCTTGAGTATTTGTTTCCTCGCACATTTGACATCCAGACATCATAACCCGCATCAGCTAGAACGTACGCGAGCCCTTTTTCTGGTCCATTAAGAATCCAATCTGCTGAACTAGCAAACAGGCCATGCTGTAAAAGTATTGTTTTCTTTGACACGTTTTTGGTTCCTTTAGGATGCGGTATCCTGTGTATGTTCAGTATGTACCCTTGGGATACGACGGTGTGTGTCTCACAAATGTAACCATTGCGTACGATTGTGGCTGGAACTGACGAAATCAAGTCTGGTTGTTCCATACGAGCTCCCGGCTCTTCTAATAGGTAAATAGGACCACGAATCAGCCGCTTTTCTGCCACTTTCTTTAACACTTTCGACGTAACTGTTGATGTCCTCGCTTATTTTTCGCTGTTGATTTTCAACAAAATTGCTTACTGAATCTGTAACTTTTACCGCTTCCATATAACCAGAGTTCAGAGCCTTCTCAACCCGGTACTTCTGTTTTTCGAAAAAAGCCTTCATATCTTCAGACGTTTGTTCAAAATATTGTCTTATGTCTTTGTCACCAGTCCAGTCGTTAGCATGGTTAAAATTAAATGCGGCGATTATAAGAAAACTTTGTAAATAAACTCGAACGTGCATGTTACGAAATTATCGCGGACTGAGTACAAAATTGCCTTGAATGTATGAATATGTTATTTCCCATTGACCTGGGGTCATGACGTCACCCTGATAGTATTCGGCTAGTCTGAACAATTTGAATGATTAGTGTGTCTATTGATATTGTAATATTTACAAGAAATAATTATATTTATTCTGTTTTAGAGAAACTAAAAATGGGCCGACGTTCTGCGACTGTGTCAACACAAATAACAAAACAACTATACATTTTAGTAGACTATTCCGTAGTTCGATTTGTTTTTTATTTATTTATTTGTTGCAGAAAGAAATGATAGAAATACCTGTTTTTATTTTTTGAAGTTATACTTCATTTGGCGCGTTAGGAAAACATGATGAGAGTAAATTTTTATGATGCGCGCGCACACCGTCACAAAAAAACGACACCCTGAAGTTAGCTTTTTTTAAAGTTATACTTATTTTGAATAAAAATTAAGAGAATAAATTTTATCTATTATTAGTGTCGTTTTTTTCTAATAAACGTAGAATAATATTTTTTTTTAAAAGATTTTTTTCTTGTTACGCCAAAGAAGTATAACTTCTAACGCGTGTACATACTCGTAAGTACACACACATGTTTTTTCATGTATATATTAAGATTGTAAGAAAATCTACGTGTATCTCCGGCCTAAGCGTTCAATCCATGTTATCGGGGTTAAATTATTTTTGTTTATTGAATGACACACGGACTAGATAAACATATCCGGCTTTATTAAAAACAAATAAAAAATAATTGGATATTTTTTGTTTAATTTAATAATGTAATTAATTCAGTTAGATTAAAGTTCGTTAAAGTCGGGGTGGAAAGTTGGGGATGGTGTTGGTGGGAATCGCTGATGGAGTGAGGTCAGCATTGCCTAGAAAACCCCAACAAACCATCTGCTGCGTTAAACACTAGTGGAAGCAGAATCCCGGCCAGTCCGAGTCATCCGCGTCCTAGTCGTCCATTCTGGGATTCTTAAAAAACTCTTGCACAGTTGGGGATTGAACTCGCAAACACAGCTTGACTTAACTAACAATAAAACTGCTTTATGGTATCAGTGTTAAGAAATTAATCTTAATTAATTTATAGTATGTACACAACAGCTAATTATAGAGCCTTTAACAATGGACCAAGCAGTAATCTGTGTGAGTGAGACTGCCACGTGTCTAAATAGGTATTGTTGACATCTCAGGTCATTTAGTTTGACCTAAGATATTATTGATCCGGGTCATTACTATACTTGGATATACTAATAATTACAATATGCAGATACCCTACGGCTGTATCTGCTCGAAAAAGTCATAACAACAACAAACATGTTGGGTTTTAGACTAAACATTGTCTTGAAAGAGCTTATGATGATGTAAGCCCGAGAAAGCATCATAGAGGAACGATCACTGCTGGTTTTACCTTTAACTATAAATCAAATAAGAATGTTAAAACAATATATCTGTGCCCAATATTACAAACAGAGATTTACGAAGTTAAAGTTTATAAAAAAGTCACACACAAACGCACACGCAAGTATAATAGGACCTTTATTAGTGACTTAGGATATTGCATTTGCCTAGAGTAGGGTCCATAACACAACTGTGTTGTGTTTATATTTAAAGTTAATTAAAAATAATACAATTTTTGTAGAAGTTATGCTAAGTTTAAACGAACATTGTTAGCACGTTATGTTACTATATGACACAGTGAATACCTTAGTTCAAATTTGCGTAGGCAAGTCAAAAGGTTGAATCGTACAAAAACCTGTTGTAAAAAATTTCTACGTATTACATATTCAATAACACGAAACTATTTTGTACTAACTATTCTTTGTATACGTTAAATTTTAACAAAATCGATGATTTAATTATTTATAACTTTTCAATTATTTATGATTATGACCTTATCTAGCGTAGTATTTTGTAATAGGCGTCGTCGGATGGAGAAAATGGCGATCTCAATTCCAATATCGAAGGCTTTCGCACCACGAAGTTCCAAGTTTGCAATATTAGCGCTACGGATATTGTAACTACGTCGAAATTGGTTTTCTCAACTGCGTGTATTATTCGAATGACGAGATTCCTATGAATAATTGTATTCCATGTGAAATCTTGGTTATGATGATTTCAACAACATAATAAAACGTTTATTAAATTTTGCTAGTATTTTTATTTTTTTCAATATTATATTTACCAAAATTGACATATATTTAAGAAAAGATAGCTGGTAACATATTCTGTAAATATATAACTATCTGGTAAACTTCAATAAATAAATAAATGAATGATTTGTGTGCGTATGTACATAGTACAGATACCGGCAAACATCTTGAACAAATGTCCTTGCCTGCGCAGAAGCTATTTTTAGGTATCACTTGTATCTGTAACTTTCGTATTCTCTTACTTACTTCTTTATATTAAAAGCTTCAACACCTTAGACCGGCAAAGCACTCGCGAACCCTCTGGCGTTACCACGGGTGGCGTCATCACTTAACATCAGATGAGCCTCATGCCCGTTTGCTCTTGTTCTATAAAAAAAATCAACTACTTTAGCGTATCTCCTTATGTTAAACGTTATTGATTATAAAATGGAAGAATGCAGGTATTACTTTCCAATATAAATAAGTAAAACCTTATACTATGTTCGTAAGGTATACCTTCAGAATACCTGGTCCATAAAGCCCTCCAAATAACTTATACTTATAAAGAACTTATAAATTCCCATATTCTGGCAGCAAGCCAATTGGCCGAGGTGCGGACCTGAATCCTTAGTTAAGACATGTCACATAGAAACTAATTAATACGACAAGTTAAATGCTTTGTGCAGAAATAGCTATTTTGTTAACGAATTTTAAATACAATAAACTTGAAAGAAATGTAAAGGAAATGTAAATTCGATGGTTTGGTTATTATATATTTTGTTTGTAAAATGCATTCACTCTGCGCGGCTTCAAGTATTTACAAATAGATAGGAGTTTGGAGAAGAAATAAGTTCTAGTTACTTTGAATAGAGTGATAACCGCCGTCCATGGACAACTAAAACGCTGGGGGCTAGCGGGTGTGTTGCCGACCTTTCAGAGAATGGTACCCCCAAGTAGTATCGGTTTGGAAAACCTTTCACTGGCAGCTGGTTCCATAAAAAGGTGATGCACCAAAGAAAGTGTGTTAAAGTGCTGTGTTGTGAAACACCTGGGTTCGAGGTGGAAATGATGGAATTTCGCATTCTGCTTCGACGTCCAATACTCATTTAATATGAGCATTATTCATTGTATAAATATTATTATAACTAATTTCCCAGTTAAAACACATATAAAAAAAATACAAAGCAAAAAGCATGGAAGTAGATAGAAATACATTTTCTGATATTAATGTATTATTGTGAATGTAGATGATCGAAAACTTTTCAATATTTAAATGAGGCCGTTGTTTATTTGAAAGTTAATTTCCTCATTATGGATATTCTTCTCTCGTAGTTCTCAAGTTTGACTCTGATCTCAGGGAACGTGATGTAATTACCAGCATAGAATAATACGTATTGAAGCCTTGAATATTTTGATATAAAAAAATACCAAGTCAATAATGTGGGTAACCTTATATGGGTTTTAGCATCAGATCGCTTCTGCTTCTATTATCAATTTATTTGATAGGAAACTGTGCCTGAACATCTAATAAATCTAGAAATCTTTGGTATGTTCAGGCAAAGTCAAGGCGAAACTTTATTATACGAGCACACAAGGAATAAGGGAAAAGCCTAGATTTGAACGCGTGACGTCGGAGTTGATAGTCTCACGCTGTAACCGCTAAAACACTTATCATGATAATAAAGATTATCTTATCACCGACTTAGAACCCCACATATGTTGAGTAAGATTTATTATAAAATATTTTGGATTGAATACTATTACTAGTAAAGTTACATTTGCAAGTAATTCAAAAGTACTTAAATATTAAATCATTGGAGCTCCCTCGGGCTTAAATATCAAAACTTGTAACTGTGGAAAGTTAATTAACTAAACTGAAGGTCCTAAGGTAAATTCCGGTGAAAGGCAAACCATTATTTTGGATTGGAAGATACAGTATGTAGGCTGTGTATGAAATCATTACCGAAACATATATTTAAAATGTGGCTTATGATTTTTTTTAAATAAATCTCGATTGTTTTACGTAACATAAGGATAACCACGCCCAGTTTCTGCGTAACCCTTGACACATAAACCTGTGATTAAGTGTGAATTGAGTGGATAAAACATGATTAATTTGATTAATATATCAATTAACTAAAGTTAGTCTTGCCAAGTTCACTTAAACGTATTTTTAAGTTTCCAAAACTCAGCGTTAATATGAACAATTTAAGGATATTTTAAATGGTTTAAACATTGCTGGAATTATAACTCAACATATACATAGTACGTTTCTACTACTATAATTGAAGTTAACATTTATATCTGTTAATCAGAATACTGACAAACCTTCCAGTATTTTATTTGATACAAGATGTATCTGTATCAAATATAATCCTTTTTACGTATAAATAATACTTTAGGGTTGGTTAGGTTAAATACAAAACAGTCACTTAGCTTTCATAAAAACGAATTCACTATTATTTCACCGTTTTAACTAAAGTACGCCGTCTCTTTTCATCACATTATAAACACAATTTGACAGAAAGAGACGAAAGAGAACTTTAGTTAACAGAGTGTATTTAGAATTAAATTATTATATAATTTAGTTTTTATAAATAAAGGGCAGATTTTATAACTCTGATTTTATAACTCTCTATGAGTTACAGGTGATAATACAGCACATATAAAATTTACCTGAGGCCGTACTTTTTCTAAGATCGTAAGGAAATACGTGACTGTGGCTGTATCGCTCGAATCAGGTAACTTCAGCCGGCTCACAGGGCTTACTTTACCGTTAAAGATATTAAATCTTCGTAAAAAGATAAGTCGATTAAGTTAAAAGAAAACTATAATAATTTTACAATATTCATGATGAATCGGAAGCAATGTTCTTATCTGATACCTCGGTGAATTAAATAAAAAATATAGCGACTTACGTATTAAAATTGACTATTGTAACGAATTCAAATATGAATATTATTAACTTTGTCTTTATAAAGCACTTTATGTTAAATTTTCTTAAGCTTTTTAAGTGAGTAGAGCAAAGTAAGATTAAACTAAATATATTTTATAATTGACTAAAACCTTACCTACAGATCATTTCTAACAGTTTAGTTTTATAATTTTATTATTGTTAACTTGTCTCAAGATAAAAATATGATTCTTTGAAATATCTTTGGCCCTTTACCCGACAACGGTGTTTGGTGTAATCGCAATGAAGAACTTTATAACATCTTTGACGGCGCCAACATCGTCCAATTAGTAAAATGCAACAGGGTTAAGTGGTTGGAACATGTGCACCGAATGGGGGAGATAGAAACCCAAGGTCCTTACTGAACTTCAGGTTCGAAGTTGGACGCAAAAAGCACGAAATAGATTGCGTTGGCGAAATATACTTGAGGCTAAAGGCTCACAAAGGGCTGTATTCATGACGATGAAGACGAAAATATATACGGAGATAATGTTATGTCACGATGTCTCTCTTGATGTTACTCTTTGAATCTGCGACACATCTGTGCCAAACTTTTTTGAAAACTACTCAATCAAAGGAGATAACATTCTCATGTTCTTAATTCTTATATACTTATTCAAATGTAAGCTACTTAAAAAGTTCAATGATAAAAATAAGGCCGAATTAACCACATACCTATTTGATGCCAAACAATTTGTCGAGTTATAAAGGGTTAAAAAAGTTCTTATAGTCAATTTAAATTTAAAAAAAAAATACATTATTTAAAATACAATATTTTTTTTAAAGATATACTTACCAAACATACATACAATTACAGAGATCATACGACATACATAAACATAATGCTTGTGCATCAATGACAAGGGACAATAAAAATAAACGACAGTAAACTAGATTAAACTATGCATGTCAAAAATATATTTTGTTTTGAAAGAGCTGGTTATTCAGTCTTTCATATATTTCAATGAGTTAAAAACATAATGCATAAGATAAAGCAACACCTACTTCATAAAACCACATTAAATGAAATATTAAATGGAGCGATGAACCTCTTTTCTCATCCAATGTGTGGCTGTGCAAAGTCAAATTAATTTTACCTTATAGTATCGTAAATCGAAGTAAAAGGATTACCGCGAAAAGCTTTCTTAAAAAGTTCATCGGGAAATAAATACGAGGGTACCTTTGTATACTTTTGATGTTACTCTTTTGATTAGGATACCTGCCGTGTGTAGTTTATGAAGACATATTTCAAAATATGATAAGGTACTAAAATAATTAGATAAAATAATATTTTATTATACAGTTTATAGCAAGGACACTGTTTTTTATTTTAGATTTATTCTAATTATCAGTGAACTTCCCCTGTTTTTTTCTCTCTTTTTCCCCCCCCCCCCGGGGTTTTCCCGGGGGGGGCCCCCCGAAAACAGTCGGGGAAGAAATTTTTTTTATTTTGGCATTCTGAAAAGGTAGGAGTTTGTTGTTTATTGTTTATCATTTTAGGCTTATTTATTTCTTAATTCTACAGCTTACATAAATTATATAACAAAAAACAATTATACTAAAGATAAAGCCAAAGATGGAATACATATACATAATATAACAAAAAGTTCATTTACAAAACTATATATTTAACTAACTAATACCCAATTCAGCTGTGTTGTGTGTCTTAACTTTGATTTTGTTCCCGTTGGAGTAGAGACTTGGGGCACAGGGTTCAACCGCACATCCGCTAATTAAAGATTTAAGTTGGCGCCTGGTAGATAGTACCGGTGACACCGGAGCTGGTGCTTTGCTCGCTCAACGAATAAGTATCGCAATACAGCGAGAAAATGCTGCTAGCATTCAATTTATATTGGCTAGTAATATTTATAAAATATACATTATTTGTTATTAAATTGTAAATGAATCTACTTGTATATTGCGAATCAGCATTCAGCGATGTTACGTATGTGGCTGCGACTATTAATGAAAGCCTCACACGTAGCCAGGTGGCAGAGGCTAGTTATAATGAGCTGACGTGATCTCCATACACTAATGTGAATCACGGATATACGTAATAGTTTTCAAGTAACAAAAAAAAGCGAATTTATTTGTGAAAAGCACAACTTCATGAATGGAAAAGGTTTTTTATCCTACTAAATACTCGTTATACCATTTATTTATTTATTATTAGGTAGATAAACGACAATAAATACTAAGTGCAGTTGTATCAAAAACTAAAAGCACATTTTTGCCTTTTGTAAAATATTAACCTTAAATTACATTTAATTTACTTCAATTTATGACATATAATTTATACATTGGGTTAAATGTAACCCGAAATTGAATCCCACAGTCATCAATTTGAATAAATAGTAATTCAAAGGGAAGGTTTATGTATAACATTGTCTATATTATATAAAAATCCTGCCAACGTGTAAATGTGTTTAAACTCCGCCGCCCTGTTTCTACGTGGACACACATCAAGTATAGGTTACTTAATTTTATTTGTTTTATAAAGATAAAACAAAAGAATTGTCCTTGACGTTAGAATAAATATTTTTAAGGCTAATGAAGACCAAACTTTATTAAACAAATACAAGCCTCAAAAGAATTTTCTTATAAACTTATTTTCCTACTTTAGGTTCCATAATAAATATTAATATTTGGATATATATGAAAATATATTAGGTGCTTCCAGTTTATATAAGTCGATATACATAGAAATATAGAAGGAAGATAACTGCTGCATATTTTAGACACTATTAACTCGAAGTCTTTCAAAAGCATGAATTGTATCATTTAAATTTCAACCGTAAATGTTTTCTATTTGAGAACTATTTCGCATGAACTAGAGCTTTACCATTTAAAATGAGCGAGAGAATTGCTAAGATTTTCCAAGTGTCATTGTTCTGCTCTCGGCATACCGATGGGTTTAATATTGTATCTATAATCTATTTTTCATTTTTATTGAAATGTTATAAGTTCTAAAGATATATTAAAAAATTAAAATAAAATAAAAAAAAATAAAATCTTTTAATTCAGACCATTATAAGTTATTAACGGGTAAAATATATTGACATACAACTATATGTCAATATGTTAAAGAAATACATATAAGATTGAATCAATATGTTTCTGCATATGGTACTAAACGAGTTATAGTATCAAGGATAGTTACCACATTATGATCTAAAGGGCAGAGAGATTCTGTATCAGCAATTTTGATAATTTTTTATCAACTGCTATGTGCTCGTAACAATTGTTTCAGAGGTTAAGGTAATTTAGTTGACACTCAGAATAGATCCTTAATATATTATATCGCATATGTGATCCCTATATAATTATTCCACTGCCTTTGAGTCATGTTCAGTCAAAAAATTATCTAAATGAGGGTTTTTATTGATAAAATCCCAAAAATCCTTGCATTTCTGGCGTGAAACGGGACTATCGCTCTCATTTTGTGAAAAATCTATTATAATCCGTTGGCATTGTAGAGTTTCCCCACAATCTGTATCAGTAAAACTGAATTCATCCTTATTTTCAATTACTTTTTTTAATTGCGTTGTTGTATCTGCAAGGCTATTATCTGTTAATGTTGGCTTAACAGACACATTATTTTCTTTAAGAGTTTTTGTTACTGACTTATTCTTAATAACTTTGGATTTAAATTGCACTGTACTCTTACTTCTGTTGGCATCTTGAGAATTATGAGGCTCATTTTCAGAATTTGTAGATAGTTTTGGATTCATTGTCTCTTTAATAATACTAAAATTAAATGTTTCGACTTACAACATTATTTTAATTATATGAAATAACAAATTATTTTGATATATTTCAGTGTCATACACAGACTAAAAGGAGTCGGTGACATTTCAAATCGAAACAAAGATTTTAGTTGATAAATAAAATAGGCTTTATAAGAGTTTATAATTTATTTATTAAAGTTTACCACATCATAAATATAACTAAATCTACGGCATATGTTACAAACTCTTTTATCTAAAATGTATGACAATTTAAGTAAACATAAGTGTTACACCATAAAATATTAAAAAGTACTATTAAAATAAATACAAGATAAAATAAGGATACAATAAAAATACTAGAAAGTTTTGTTAAGCAGAAAAGAAATTGTCAGCAAAACAGCAGATTACGTATAAGATAGGCACTTAATAATGCTTTCTTTAAAATTGATCAGCCCACTACCGAACATATCGAGCTCCGGATAAGAACTGTTTAATGTTTAATCCGATCGCGAAGTTATTAAGTTTATTTTATTATATTCACACCTCCGATGGAGTGAAAGCCTATTCAAAATTCTTCCGCTATTCTCTCAAATTCTCTACTATTTTCCTGACTGCTCTTTGAATATTTTTTGTTTCCATAACCATTTTTAAATCCTGGTTATGGGAGTTGCTAACAAAAGTTTTTCATCTTTTATCGCTTCATATTTAACTAGATAGTTGCGGTGCATATTACAAGACTGGGGTCGCTGGCAAATGATAGATGGTGACTACTTTGATATTTTGTATATGTCGCATGTTATTTGTTAATATATATAGTCAATTTAAAAGGTTGCTCCTTTTAAATAATAAGCGATGTTGGCCGAAAGGCTTCAGTGAGCGACTCTCATCCCTGAGGTCGTAGGTTCGATCTTCGGCTGTGCAACAATGGGCTTTCTTTCTATGTGCACATTTAACATTCGCTCGAACGGTGAAAGAAAGCATCGTCAGGAAACCGGCTTGCCTTCGACCCAAAAAGTCGTCGGCAAATGTCAGGTACAGGAAGCTGATCACCTGCTTGCCTCTTTGATAAATGATCATGAAACAGATACGAAAAATAAGAAAGACCTATGAAGGTTGTAGCGCCACTGATTTGTTTTATTATAGTCAATTTGACATATTTTTTGGGGTGAAATCCAGGTCCATTGATTTTTTTTATCTTCTTTGTAAATTAAGTATTTTTTATCTTTAAGTCAGTTTCACGGTAAAATTATTGGAGCAGATCTCCTTTTGTAGCCATTACTTCACCAGGCAATATTTTCCTTTTTCTAGCATTAAAATCGGCTGCTAACAAAAAATTCTTTTTGCAGTGCTTATACGACATTTTAATGCTCATAAACTTATGTTCTGATATAAATGATTATCTAAATTTGCTAAGACAAACAAAGCGTAGGTATATTATCACTACGTAATTAAAGACATTAGTCTCATAGAATATCATTCTATGTATATATTTCACACAGATGTTATAACAAGTATAGCTTCATTTTTCCAAGCTACGCTAGAAATTTCTAATAATGAATATTTTTTCTTTATTTATTTTTAATATAACCTTTTTCAGTGCGAGAATAAAACTCTTTGACTTTTTTCTTCCGCCTTGACAGTATATTTTGAAAGCAACAATTCATAACCATTTTTGATTATTCTAAGATTATTAAAGTTCCTTAGAACATGAACCTCGATAATCAAGTGTCTCTTTGTGGAATCGTACCAGCGTGCTCTATACAGACATCGGTAACTCAGGCGTCGGGAGATCTTTTCTCTGATAGCAATTGCGGGGAACCCCTCCTGTCGCAACGGATTGTTCTAGATTTCACACCAGACGAAGCTTTGGATCAAGACCTTATTCAACGAAAGTGTGTCGCTTTTTGGGAGTTCGTTGAAAGAAATCCAGATCTGCAGAACTTGGGCACTTGTCCTGTAAATATGTTCTACTTGTTTAAGTTTAATACTTTTAGTAATAAAATAAATTAGTGGCGCTACAACCTCTTTAGGTCTGGGCCTCAGATTTATGAACATGTTTCATGATCATTTTTAAATCTAATAGGCAAGTAGGTGATCAGCCTCCAGTGCCTGAAACAGGCCGTCGACTTTTTGGGTCTAAGACATGTCGGTTTCCTCACGATGTTTTCCTTCACCGTTCGAGCGAATGTTAAACTAATTTAGGAAAAAGAAACGGTAAAAAGTTCCTCATTATAACGATAGTGGCGTCTTTACCTGGCACGTGTAAATATAAGATATTCCGATTTTATTGCGATGTTTTCCTAGATCCTACGCAAGTGATTTTCAATCTCTGCCGGGAGTCCCACGCCTGGATACTAAGCTAACATTGCTCTCTTTGCATCCATATCGAGTTTCCACAATTCGTTAAGAGAGAGTATTAATAGACATACTAGACTAAATCTAATATAACGCATTCATTGATCGATTACAAGTTTTATTAATATAATATTCTTGTCGTATGTAAACATTTACACATATTTATTGATGTCTACGTTTATTAGGACTACAACGTTTTTGATAAAAATACAACCACGCCTAGTAGTAGTTACGCAATGAAAAAGGAGATTGCAATCGATAAAGAAGACAAAAAGAAGACAGCGGTCTCTATGCTTGAATTGGTCGAGAACAAAGGTAGAATTATGTTTCAATTAATTTATAAATTCACTAGTTTGTTAAGTCAATAATTGATGAAGTCTAGAGTTAATCAAAAAATAATGTAGTTCCGAGTCAAATGATTATATCAGATCAATTCAAGTGGGAAAACAAGGTTTAAGAGTATAATTTTAATAATTCAAAGTAAGATTGCATGAATATGTAATCGAGTTATACATCAACTCAAATCCTTAAGTATAAAGCCCCCTGACCTACAAAAGTCACATTATTAAGGTATTAAGTTTACCCACGTACTACACAAATAAAACGAACAAATACGTGATTTGAGCGACACTGTCGGTGACCACGATCACTAGAAATGTTGAATTATGTCAATCAAGTGATAAATTTGCATTTATATCCATTAAAATTCGTATTTATTATCAAACTGTAATTACGTGTTATTTATTAATAAGTAATCTTATAGCTACACTTATAGATATTATAAAAGAAACCACTTAGATAATATACAAAGCCAAAACAGATTATATTGATAAACAAAATATACGAAACTGATTTTTTTTATCTATTAATGTCAATTAAATAAACTAAAATTAACCACTAAACCAGAAAAAACTAAGTTGTCACTACTGCTATGCTATGCTTAATCAAATCAGTCTTCCCGCATCCCAAAATATTTCCACCCTCTTTGGTAATACAACTCTTAAATAAGGAAAACTTATTTTATTTATAACACGACAAGTTGAGTAAAAGATAAGTGCTGTACATTTTCATAACTGTTCCGCATGTCGCTGAATTGATTTTGAAAACCATTTTACACACAAATCTTACAAGACTTCTTTACAAACACTTTTTTCTTTCTGCTATTATTACATCCCCCTTTTTTTTTTGCCTCTGAGACGCAAACTAACTGTCGTGGTCTCTGGCAGAATGACAACCACAACACACACATCACACACTTAAAATATAAATTTTTCCTTAAAAAATGTTTTGACTATTGTTTTGTGTCTTTCTGTGTGTGTGTTTCGTTAGTAATAAAGGCTATGTTTATGTAATTATTCAAAAAGCTGGGTATTTAAATGAAACGTAGTGTAATAAGAAATTACCTCAGTTGAATGTACAGGGCTCATTGACCGCGCATTTGAAGGCAAGCTACCGCAGTCCTATTGTTCGTTCGGCGAAGACCAATATTCCGCAAATGACTCGATTGCCATTACTCAAGAGAAAGGTGAGTTACTTCAATTAACAACTAATGGTACAAGTATTGTATATAAATAAGTGATTGCAATCATAAAATTTACATATTAATAATTTATTATATTATTGAGAAATAGCCCTTGCGAGAGGATTTAAGAAATCCGTATATTATGTATTTTTTGGAAAACATAATGATTCTATAGGCTTCACATATTACTTTACTACTTCGATGATTGAAACGTTTTGCAATTTTCAGTGGTAAACAATGACATTAAAAAAAATTATTTATAAGAAGCTTTACGTAATATAATTTCCATTGAGTTACCACGTGAATAAATATAGTGTAGTTTTTGTAGCCGCTGTCTCAAGTACCAAGGTTCTTCGTAGAACGTCTCACGTAGCGAACACATCCGGTGCTACGGGCACTACGGCGAAAACCCTTGTGCCACAAAACGTAGGAATTTCAGCGAGCGAAGCGAAGCGAGTAAAATATACCAGCAATGAAAAAAGTTCAACAATCTTATCTTTTTGTAAGCCGTTACTAATTAGATTATTTTATATCTGATCTCTAGGTCTCGAAGGTGACGGAAAGCAGAATAAGAAATACCCACCTCGAGGCGCGCTTAAGAAATTGTGCTTGAAGCTTGATGATTGGAATGCAGCACATCCAAGGTGTGGTGTCGACTTATAAAAGTAGTTTATATAAGTAGTAGTATTAGTAAATACTAAGTATAGTAATGAATTATTTTAATTATATACTTACTGCTATTAGTATTAGTTATGTTTTGTAATACGTGTAACACTTTGTGCGCATGAAACAGTTTTTACTGATACAGTTGCTATAGTTGATATTGCTTGATATAGCTTGCGTTCTTTAGTTCATAAGAATGAATTCCATAGCGCAAAATCACCTGAATCATGAGCATACTCCACATACACACAGTTGAATTAGGTGTTCGTTAGTTAAATGTATTGAATAATTTTTATTAATTTGTTCTTTTTGTAAATGTTTAAATATATAGTAAATATGTATTCTCTTCTATCTTTGTTTCCTGTAGGATTACGAAATAAATAAATATATAAATGTGGCAGAATTAGACCGGCTGTAATACTCGTTATAAATGTAATCAGTCCTGATTAATCTAGCATTTTCTTACTAATTTAGACATAATATAAGGTGAAATCTTTGCAGATATATAAAGCCACCAGGACATTCACAAACGCTACTCACAAGCAAAAGATGCAAAAATGCTCATTTATAAAATATTTAAATATGTCTGTTTTTTAAGTATTATACTTAACTTTAATTCTTAAATGTTTTTAGATACCATTATAAAATATAATGTACTAAGTAGTATTTTAGATATACTTTTCTTTCTAAAATAAATAAGTTGGATCAAAATGCGTTTTTGTTTTAAAATTAAATATTTTTTAATTGAACAAAAAATAGTTAAAAATCTGAAAAGTTACATATAAATTGTTTATCATCTACCTTATTTGAAAAGCACGCGTTTATTAGATACTTTTTCTTATGAAAACTGTATTTTTATACCTTACACAGGTATACACATATATTAATAGGCCGGCAACGCACACGCGAGCCCACACTTATAATCTGGAAAGCCTACTGCCCGTTTGCCGTGTTGCTATAAAAAAATAAAGGATGTTGAGCATAGGTTACTTGGGGAGAATAATATAGTATAGAATTGAAAAACTGGTCCTTGTTTGTGAACAGTTTGTAATAAAAACATTTGCAAAATTGCACACCAGAAACAACAAACCAAAACCTCTGTAGTTTAGAAACTAGGGAATTGTTGGTGTACCAGATGTTACCATAACTTTGTATTATATTAATATTCTCGAGGTCATAGCTTTAACTATATGCAATAAGTGACAAATTCAATTTTCATTCACCATTTTTACCAACGAAAAACTGATCTAGTTGTTAACACTTTCAACACTGGCTAAGGCTAAATTATAAAAACTTCATAACGATTTATGTAAATGTGTGAAATTTTTTAATGTCGGTTCTAATGGTCTTCTGCTGGAGGTAATTGATAAACTCTACCTAATATAGGTATAATCTTGTCTGTTAGTGAATTAGTGGATACATTATTTTAATTATTTAAACTAAAGGTCTGTCATAAGCTTGTGGTGAATGGTCGGACTTAAATTCGTGTATGCGGTGATGTTAGTTATTTCGACTATGTATTTGCGTGTTGTTCCCACGAGAATACCCCCATAATCCCATGCTCCTGCTGATATAGGACAAATCTTTGTTTTTAATTTATTTCATTATTATTAATTAACTATTGTTTGTCATGTGGAACATGGTGTAATGGTTGCAGCTCCTTACAAACATCGTGTAAAACAAAAAACTTGGCGATTAAAAAGCGGGGCGGAGAGTTTATTGCCAGTTCTTCTCTTCCGTTATACGCCCTTGATTTGAGATGTTCATAAGTGTACATAATGCGAATGAACTGCTGAAAGTGACAATTTTGTCACTAGCGTAAACTGCTATGAAAAGCGAATGGCGCAGTGACAGGTTCGTCATGGGCTTGTTCGCCTGTCGGCGAAAATATGTGTAGTGGTTAAGGTGATCGTCATCCTCAAGTGAGGTCATGCATTTTGATCCCACTTGTACTTGTGAATACTCCTTCATCAAATCAAACACTGGTATTTTTCTTTACTTTATTAATGCTCATAAACAACACACATGTTTAAACGAGGAAATCAAACACTTATGAAAAATATAAGAAATTAGATATGCACGTGTGATAATGACATGAAAACTTACGAATCAGGCGATGAGCTAACCACATCCATGCAATTTTCTCGCAATAGCGTATCGAGCGTAATCGCGGTACACAAATAACAAGGGGACTGAAGGCCGATCATTCAACATAAAACATGTTATATACATCAGGATTCTATGTTTCAAAAAGTATACCCAAATAGCCCGTGTCCATTAATCTCTACTACTCGTCGTGTGACAGTCAAGGAGAGGGGATACATTCCCCCTCCCGAGGTGGTCAGGATATGCCAAGCACCTATTGATGATACTGTTGATACCACCTACTTTTTATGAAACTTGGTAAGTCATTAACTTCCTAGTCCGAGGTCCAAGTTACAAAAATATAACAGGAATTAACAGTCTAAAACGCATGATATAAAAGATTAACGTTCGGGTTAGGTTGTCAGGTAACGGTCGAATTTAGTTTTAATCAGATGACACGGTGCATATTCTTATCGATAATTTATTGGTCTTGTTCACACAGCAGGCTTTCAGGGTCCTTCTCACAGAGGAAGACATATCGGCTCTCACACAACAGATCATTATACATGCCATTCCTGTAGATAGCTCCGCAAAATTCTCCAGTGGAGCCATTATTGGGTTCTCCAGGCGAGAACTTGCTGTAACCGGCTTCCTGGAGTGTATCACCTAGAATGATAACACAATATTACAAGTGTAAACGTAAAATCTTCTTCTTTTATTATAAAAGTTTTTATTATTAAAGAACTGAACGGACTGTGTCGATTAGAGCATGTGACTTAACGAGGTCACCTAGAAATTTATCTTACTATTTGAGTATTTTTATATTCACTCTTACGCTAAAAGAAAACATTGCGAGGAACCGGTATACCTTAGAGCCAAAAAGTCGACAGGCTTAAAAGGCTGATTAACTACTTGCTTATTAAGAAAATAAAAAAAGATTTATAAATCTGAGGCCAAGAGCAAAGGTGTCACTACCTTTTTAAAGGCAGATAAATTTTTCTGACCAATTCGTATAAACAAAGCCGTATACTAGATATATTATCATAATTTTAATAATTCTTTATTTTCTCCCATATAACATATTTTGCAACAAACAGTACGATAATTTAAGAAGGTATTGGGAGACTGGTTTCCAAGCTAGGTAAGAACCTGTGATGTGGATAACCAGGCTTCCATTCCACAGAAAAGTCATACTGAGTCATAACAAAAAAAGTAGGCAAACAAAATTGAAAGTTTCTAAAAAAAAAACAAATCAAAACAGTCAACTAGATTACTATGTGTTGTTGACTATGTTTACTATGTGTGTGTGTGTGTGTATGTGAGTGAGTATTTGGGAAGGTGTGTGTGGGTTTATATCAGGCACACGCTTGAGACCGTGATATGTGGAAATTATTTTTAGCAGATTTTCCGTTTGGTCATAGTTCCAAGTAAGGAAAAATTTAAAGACTTCATATATATATAATTACATATTGAGAAAAATTTTAAAAAGATGGGGTTGTACAAACGCTATATTTGCGTTTGTCCAATAAAGCGGTATCGAAGAACAACAGCGAATGTTGGTTAAGAACAGTGTATAAGATAAACAGCTGTCGGAAAATTCCCGGAAATTTTAAAGAATTAATACATGTATACGAGCATTTTTTTTTAAATCGACATAAATAAAATACTGTTTAGGTTTATCAATAAGAGGAATAATATATATTGTCTATAATATTTGTACACTTACTATTGATTGTGAGCCACTCGCCGTGCTCTCCCCAGTCGTGCACGCCGACGAAAGCTACGTCCTTCGGGAAGTTACCCACAATCTTATTATCGGGGTATTTAGCGAATATTTCCTTTGCCACCTATAAAATTACGTAAATAAAATAAATATAAATCTGCCTTATATTTAAGAAATATGCAATATAATAATCGAAATAGTTCTATCATGAGTTGATCTATCACAGAATATAGTAGAAATTTATATATAATATTATGTCAGGAAATGGTCGGATTATCAGGAAATGTTCTGATCGAGTCAATTATTGATCGTTGATTTTTATTGTTGCTTTTAAGAATCATTATTTACTTTGATTAGATTTGTTTTTTTATTATTTAATTCATTTTGACTTTGGACAGTGCGTTCACAGTACGCAGGGTAGTTCTGATTGAGTATTCAGTAGAGCATTGTAGTGATGAGACGTTGCACCGAGTGGGGTCTATGTGATTTGTGGTTGAGTACGAATGTGATTAAAAGTGAGATCGCTGCCTTGAACCGACTGCTCATTATAATTTAAGCTAAAATTGTCATTTGTAGTGTTAAAAGGAATCTAAATTAAATAGGTACTGTACGATAATTATTCGTGTCTTTTGTGCTCGCACTTTACCCACATGAATCCCACTAAGCCCGCATATAACGATCTCCATATCGATGGAATGCCGATGTTTCTCTGACATATTATATTTCAATTGTAGTATTATTTTGCATATAATATATTTAACCCAGACGTTTATATGTATGTTAATAAATATGTTGCCCATTACTCTGTATACTATGAATGCTATTTTGTTTCCATGTTATAGAAATATAACAATCAAATAGGTCCCTAAAGTCACACAATAGTGTAGCTTTCCACTAATAAAAAATATTTTCAAAATACTATTTTTTACAAAGTCAGAAAACTCATTATAATATTTGTATAAAAGATTTCTTTAATATTTTAATATTGAGATTAATTGACAAAGAAGTTTTAAATGATCCCCCCCCCCCCCCCCCCCCCCCCCCCCCCCCTCCCCGGGGGGGGGCAAGGGGCATTTCTTCGTGAAAGTTTATGCAAAAATTATAGACAAGAAAAATAGAAAATAATAGAATAAATGATAATACAAATAATATAACAGTTTTGTTTAATAGTATATGTGCTAAAAATTAATTTTTAATTTTTTTTTTTAAACAAAATTCTTTGTTTTTAATGTTGATCGCATGGGTCGACTGTGCTGTGTCATGACAATTATATAACTTAATAAATAATAAGCAAATATAGTTACAGTACTGTATACTTTGTGATTATTTTTTAAGAAATGCGACCGTAAGTTCAGGTATCTCGTCTGCCTGCCTCGTCTTTTTTGGCATTTAGATCGCCCATAACTATATATGTATTATGTGCAAGATCTAAGGATCGAAACGTTTCAAGCTCGTCTTCTTTTGCTGTTTCTGCCGGGGCGTAGACTTGTATAAAAGAGATTTCAGTGATTAATAGGAAATTTTTTGGTTAGGTTTTTTATTTCCTTGTAGTGTCTTTTGACTTTCTTTAACAGTTAGTATACAAAGAAATTCGCGTTTAGATATAAAGATTTTACAGCCATAAGGCCTACTTGTATTTATTTTCATGTGTGTTTCGCTCTTTTATTAGGATCAATACTTTCATTATATTTTATTTTTTAATTTCTTTCTTTTAAATGTAAGCAACGCTAAAATAGGAGGCAAACGGGCAGGAGGCTCACCTGATGTTAAGTGATACCGCCGCCCATGGACACTCACAATGCCAGAAGGCTCGCAAGTGCGTTGCCGGCCTTTCAGGAATTGGTACGCTCTTTTCTTGAAGGACCCTAAGTCGAATTGGTTCGGAAATACTTCTGTGGGCAGCTGGTTCCACATAGTGGTGGTGCGCGGCAAAAATGGCTGCCTAAAATGAAAACGCTCGTTGTGGGAACGACGGACGTCTTGGGAGGTGATACGGATGGTATTTTTGTATTTTGCCTTGACGTCCGATGATGAAACTCAGCTGCAGGTATTAGACCGAACAACTCCTCTGAACACTCTCCATGGTAAATGCGGTAGAAGATGCAGAGGGATCCCACATCTCTACGCAACGCCAAGGGATCAAGCCGCACGGAAAGTGACTGGTCGTCGACGATCTCGAACCGCTCTTCGTTGAATACGGTCAGTGGAAGGAGCTGGTAGCTGGGGGAAGCTCCGCCCAGAGGTGAGAGCAGTACTCCATATGGGGCCGAATTTGCGCTTTATATAGTTGCAAGCGGTGGCCCGGAGTGAAGTACCGTCTCGCCTTACTGAGCACACCAAGCTTTTGGAGGAGGCTAATTTAGCCTTTCCTTCCAGATGACCGCGAAACTGAACGTTATTCGATATGTCAACGCCCAGTATTCCGATGCTAGCTGAGGCTTTAAGGAGAGTGTCTTCAAAGGGGAGTAGCGACCAAAGGGTTTTTAGCGGGAGAAACGCGCATACTTGTGTCTTCTTGGGGTTAAATTGGACTAGATTTAGTCTACCCCAGTCCGAGACTCCACGTAGAAGAGTTTCGACTTCAGACACAAGTTTGTTCCGGTACTCATCGACAACAGCCCGAGAGGGATACCTGCCCGGCCAGTGTAAAAAGTATCCCCAGTGCTGTCGTCCGCATAGCAATGAATGTTGCTAAGCTGCAACATATCATTGATATGCAGAATAAACAGGGTCGGGGATAGGACACAGCCTTGTGGACACCAGCATGAAACAGGACACCAGCATTCACAGGTTTCAGGTCGGAGCATGCTCCGTCGATGACGACTTTGATGCTCCGATCAGCGAGAAAGCTGGAAATCCAGTTGCATAATTTCTAAGGGCCCAGCCCATAGGCTGGAAGCTTCGAGAGCAATGCTCTGTGCCACACCCGATCGAATGCTTTTACCGCCACGCCCCCGGCCTAAGGTATACAAGGAGGGCGCCAGCCGAGCGACCACGACGGAAGCCGTACTGAGAATCGCTAATCAGCTGGTGGCCCTCTAGATACCTCAAGAGCTGGCTGTTAATAATGGTTTCCATTATTTTGGAGAACAAGGAGGTTATAGCTATTGGGCGATAGTTGGATCAGAGCGATAGACGCCTGTTTTTAGGGATCGGATGTATCGAAGCGATCTTCCAGCACTTCGGAACAGTGCCGAGCGTGTAAAGGTACCGGAAAAGGCGCGTTAGGCGGACCCGAGCCAACTCAGGAGCACAAGTACGCAGCACAATTGGGGGGATGCCATCAGGCCCGCTCGACTTATGGATGTCAAAGGAAGAACAAAGCTTTACGGATAGCACGTTGCCGGAATATAACTTCGGGCATCGTAGTATCACACCGCAATAATGTCGGTGGTTCCTTCCCTTTCAAAGTGGAGTTCGACGCAAAGAGAACAGCCTAGAAGATCGGCCTTCTCTTTCGCGGTATGGGCAAGTGAGTCATCCTCCCTATGCAGTGGTGGAATTGAGGGCTGACAGAAATTCCCTTGGACAGCTTTGGCAAGAGACCAGAAGGCTCGAGTTCCCGAAGGGAGGTGGGCCAATTTCTCACCAAATCTGGCAATGTGCTCTGACTTTGCTTTAGCGATTTCTCGCTTGAAGGACCTGGAGGCTGAATTGTATGCTTTTTTACGTTCGCCGATAGTCACATCACAGGATGTCACCGCTTCTGCCCAGGCTTTAAAGCATTCACGCTTACGGCGCAAAGCCGCTTTGCAGGAACGCCTAAACCAAGGCTGGGACTTGCCACCGACCGGCACCGCAGAGAATGGAATAAAGAGTTCCATACCCTGCAGGACCACCTCGGCGACAGAGTCAGCGACGGCATCTGGAGTACTCGACGAAAAGCAAATGGGCCCCCAAGGGTAGGACGCAAAAAAGACCGCATCCCATCCCAATCTGCTGACTTATAGTGCCACACGCGGCGACAGCCCGTGAAGCTAGGCCGAAGAGGGCGCGTGAACGGCACAATGCTCCGGACCACACAATGATCTGATGAACCCGAGATGGCGGTTCAACAGAGACTCAGAGACTTGGTTCCGGATGTGAAGTCAGCAGAAGGTCCAACAAAGAGGGTTGTATGACCATCCACATCTGGTATTCGCGTAATCGCAGGGACCATTTGCGTCAAGTCATAAGCCAAAGCAAAGTCGTGAAAGGATCTTCCCGCATGATCGGTGGTTTCTGAGCCGAGCCAATCGGCATGGTGGGCGTTAAAATCGCCAAGTATCATGATTTCAGCGGTAGGAACCCTTTCGAGCAGGGAATCTGTAGCCATTTGGATGTGCTCAATGAGTCGGTCAGTTTCGGTATTTCCGCTATGGGACCTATACAGGCATGCATAGAATCGCGGATGGTTATCGCAGTCTACGCGCAGCCAGAGGTTAGATAGGTCCCTTCCTTCAAGCATCCCGAGGCGACGAGAACAGATATCCTCTCTGACGTACACGCAAACTCCCGCCCGCGGCACAAATGAATGTTCCAATTTTGTACCCCGGGTAGAGAGGTAGGAAGTATCAGCCGGGGAGGAAATCTGAGTCTCGGTAAGAAAGAGCAGGCCGGCTTCGCAGTCTCTAAATGGTAGTGGACTGCGTTGATTTTATATTAAATTGAGCCCCCTAACATTTGTGAAGTCCACAAACAAGTGGAACAAACATATAAGAATGAGAGATTCCAAATTCAAATGTAATATTTGTTGTAATTGTAACAGTATTTATAGCCAGACTAAGTATATATTGTTGTACTTGGATTAAATAAAAAACAAAAATTATTTCCAAAGAAAAACAAAAAAATTAAACTTTCAAAAATTTATAGGTAATATACTTTTGTAGATTATTCATGGAAATCTTAAGTAAAAATCCAAAATCAGAATCAGTCCAGTTGTTTTTGAAATATACAATCTGTTTTGTAAGTAATCACATTGCCATGATAACGCACAGGAGCTCAACGAACTTAAACGATTTTCTAAATTTGAATTAAGTTTGTTTCTGTTAAGCAGTTTGGTCACAATAATGTTTTTTAATTTTTTACAACAAACAACATATTGTATGCAGTAAAAATACAATGGATAGTTTCCATTGGCAATTTTTAGAAGAGACGTTGCCGTTTTGTCTTACGCTGTTGTGCGAAAGGAATGGAATATCTATCTAGTAGTAGGCAAAGGACCCCGCGCCGAGCATTCCCTGCCCTGCCCAACTTACCTTTTCACTCCTCAGTCGATTTGTCGCTGTGACCGAAATTGGTTATGTTATTTGTCCACGCGCAGGTGCCGATCCCTTATGCGCGCGTATTAATCTTAAGTCAATGTGAATTAATAATAGATGTGATAATAGTGGTAGTGGCTTAAAAACCTAGGTGTAGAAACACCAATAAACTATAGGTATAATTAAACAACAAATATAATTTTTTTTCACATCACTAAAAGGTAACCCGAAGATGGTGGCAGGTGAAGTGCCGCAAAAAGCAGTAAAAACCTTCTCGGAAACAGTTGATAGTTTATTACTAAAACCTTAATATTGTATTCGTTCTAAAAGTGTATTTTATTCTATAGACATTTATTCGTTTTATCACAAGAACTCGTACGGCATAAAATAATAATTTTTATTTTCGTCTTACATGGTAAAGTAGATTGACTCATTTGTTATGATAGCTATTATAACAAATTTTGACCAATGCACAAAATTCTATGATGTCGTCGACAGCTCTAGTTCCTAGCTTGTTGCGCCGCTTCGTGCTTTGCACTTTACACCTAGGATATCTAGGCTAGGAATGTGAGATCACAAAATCATATGATGCTACGTATGGTTTTTTATGACACAATAATTAGTTTAATAACGTGAGTTTACCAAATTTAATCAAACGTAAACCTATTGAATTTATTACAAAGATACATTTATCATAAAGGCTACATGGCACACATTAGGTATATTTGAGATTTATTTAAATATTCATATGACAGTTTTGAACATGTAAAAAGTAAACAATCGTATCCTATTAATCTCAATTTGTTATAATTTAGTCACAAGTGAAGGTAGCGATAACATTTACGTCCCGATTGTTGTTATTGTTTTAATCCTACCGAACGTAAGTGTGAATGAATTTGCAAGACTGTTAAATTGTCTACTCATTTTACCTCAATTTGTTTGTATGGAAAATTTTGTTTCTTAATTATATGTATATATATTATATTTCTTAAATATATTTAAATTTTCCTTGTACTTTTACGTTAATATGCATATTGGCACCGATATCCTTTAAATAGAAAAAAAAGCCATAACGTATAAAACACATTGTAGATCAACCAATTTGTGGTAAAACATTTTTGGTATATGGATTGTATATTTTGTTTGGTTTATTAAAATATAAAATTAAGGAAGTACATACCAGGATCTGTCGTACCGCAACTGTTCATAACAAGTGAATTGGAAATTTTCTTGTAGCAGAAATAGGGATATGTATCCTCGCAGTTGACATCAGCGAATTCCCCATTCTCTGTCAAGAGAAGACAGCTCTCTGCGTCGTTATAGTTGTCAGGCTCACCATCCGCCCAAGTGTAAGAAATATGGGAGAGAGGTACTCCTGAAAGCAAGTATTTTATACTGAGAAAACTTATGGAATGGAAATTTTTTCTTGTTCAGCATTATATGGACCCTAGATGATTGGACTTTATTTGTCGGTTTTTTCCAAAATTCCCAAACAATGTCGTAGACATGACTCAGTATAAAGCATAATATAATACTGCCGATAATTCTTAAATACACGTTAAGTTCTTGCTTGTAAGTTTAATTAGGTTGTCAAGAATTTAGTTTATAAAATTACAACACTAATTATATTTAATTTTATCAGAATTCTGTGCTGATAAAGAAAAGTAATTAATTCGACTTAGATGTGATATTGTCAATGCTAGTTTACCTATTCGCAATTGCAGATAACCGTTATTAAAATATCCTTGAAAATAATACAAAGTGATGGTGTGCTCTGAGGTCGTTCGTTTAAACTGATACGTTCATTTCTTTTAACTTTGTTGTGGAATTAACTATTAAGTTTGTTACTGAAGAGCTGGGAATTGAAATGCATTGTTATAATGAATAAACACTCGGGATGATAATAAATATACTAACCGTCCACGGAGAAGAAGTCTCCTCTAGAGAATGTTGCATGGATGCCCAGAAATACCCCACACTTGCGCTTGAGAGAAACATCCATCATTGATAACATGGCGTTCTTCAGCTCATCATTTAGAGGTGATGCAATTTTCGCTCCTGAATTTTTATTTAAACTATACATGCTTATGGTATATTTATCGGAACATCTAAATGTCAGAATTAAAATACAATCCTTTAGTTAGAGACTATATAACTAAATAAAACTAAAACCCATCGTAGTTCTTAGACGCAATTTTGCTACGACTGTTACCTAGCGTCTACTTATCGATGCGGCCAGAAGAGTGTCCTACCCTCAATAGTAAAGTTGATTTACTAAATACCTCCATTACTAATCTTTTTGATATAGGTACATGCCCCCTTTTTAAATTAAAAAATTCCCAAGTATCTGTAGGAAATCTAATTGTGTAATTATTATTGTATATTATTTGATGTTGGTTTAAAAATTGCTTATAAAATATACCTTCAAGGTGACACCTTAGCCGAGCTTCCCTCCAATTTGCGGGAATCCTGTGCAGCTTTAGGTAGCCTCCAGCTTTGGGAAAACATTCGTAGTCGCATCGGAACCAATTCGCATCTACGATCATAGTACCGAAATTGTGTATAAATATTTTCATATAAAGTGTCAATTGGAAGATGATGAAAACACAGTGTTTATTCCATTCCATTCATTTAAAAATTATTTACAACATGGTTAAGTATTACTGTGAAAAATATTACAAAAAATTAAAATTGGACCTACGTTTCTGGACTGACGTACTTCTATTTTTAAAATTAAAATTTCGTAAAAAGAATTTATGAAATATAAGTATTTTATATTTTATGCAAAATATTTTTTATTGAAATCTCAAAAAAAAATTTAAATTAAAATGCCACGTGTTTTTATTATCGAAGAAATAAATTTAAAAATTAAATTTATAATTTGTATTAATTTTCGACACTTTTAATATATTAATGACAATAAATTAAATTCATTAAATTCCTAACATATCTTCCTTTCCCCCCCCTCTAAGTCTCGGAAATCTAAAGTTTTAGATTTGTATGAACAAGACTTAAAAATTGGTTTTCCATAGAAGTTTCACAGTTTTTGCACTTTTTCTTTATCCAGTATGCTCTATCTATGAACAGTGTTGTTGACGGTCATACTTTCGAATCCTGGCTGTACGCCCTAGTACGGTAGGGAAACCGATCCATTCTTTGGAACCAGAAACCTGAGGGCACGTGTCTGATCACCTACTTGTCTACTAGAAAAAACAAATGATAACGAAACAGATACAAAAAGCCTTTTTGTAGCTTCACTGGATTTTTTAAGCCATATAAAGGACACTTGAAGTAAAAGTTATATGATCAATGTTTTATGTTAGACACACTTTTGAGTTAATATTAAATAATATAAAAACTTACCGTTCGATGCGATAACTGCCAGCAAAACCGTGAGCACTATGCAACGATACATTATGTTTTATGTTGGATAGCAGAGGTAAACTTATATTTATGTTCCTCTTATCTACTTTTACAACGTACGATGTATACTTATCAATGTTGTCACATGTGTGCAAAAAAAATTTATGAATCCTTATTAAATGCGCCAAAACTTGTAATACAGGGTCACTTTTCGGTAGATTAATTTTTTTTCACAGTGGGGTCCGAAGTAAACAAAAAGTTATGATTTGAAAAAAAATTATATCGTTTAACTTAATATTATCTTCAATACACTAAATAAACAATTATAAATAGTATGTTTAACGCAAGAACTAATCAGTACCAATCTAGTGGATATTATGAAAAAGATACAGGTGTAGATTTTTTCGAATTTTAATAAGAATTAGTAAAAAAAGTCAATTTTCTTATAGAAACGCAAAATAAATTATAACTCTGCAGGGGTTGAGCTTAGAGACCTCCCGTAGAACAATTTTTTGCAGCTGATGACCTCATCTATCCCCGTTTGCGTTTGATCCAAGACTTTTTGACCATCCTGTATATAATATACGAAATGCAATCTCTATAAAAATGGTGAAAACATAGTCAAGAAACAATTAAAAAATATAGGAAGACCTTAAAGCGAGTGTTACTTTGTCGAAAAATGCTTATATAAAAAATCTGTGTCGCCACAACCTTTTTTTTTTAGGTCTGGGCCTCAAGATTATGTATCTGTTTCATGATCATTAGTCAATCTAATAGGCAAATGGGTTATCAGCCTCCTGTACCTGACACATGCCGTCGACTGGATCTAAGGTAAGTCGGTTTCCTCGCGATGTTTTCCTTCACCATTCGAGCGAATATTAAATGCGCACAAAGACAGAAAGTCTATTCGTGCACAGCTGGGGATCGAACCTAAGACCTCAGGAATGAGAATCGCACGCTGTAGCCACTAGGCCATGAAATTTGGACTCTAAAAATAGCTTTAGGTAAGACAAAGACAATTCCTTAGAGCGAAGTAAATCATTTTTGCGATAAGACGTTCCAAAACAAACCAACTTTTCACAATCAACAGACACTTCAATTGATATCAAAGTCGAACGATAACATTGTTTTTGTAGTTTAAAAATATAATCGATTAATAAAAACATTCCTCATTAAATGAAAACATCAAATTGTGTCTCAAAATAATTTATATGTATATATAAAAACTTAAATACATTAAAAAATAAAAAATACAGCCTTGCGATTCTGTAACTCACACAGCGTCGCTCTCAAATCAGTCGTGAAGCAGTCATTTTATGATTTGGCATTCTGAAAAGGTGGGAGCTTGTAGTTTATTATTAATCAGAATGCCAAATCATAAAATGACTGCTTCACGACTGATTAGAGAGCGACCGCCGATGCGAAAACCGCTGTGTGAGTTCGAAAAGTGAGTTACAGAATCGCACGGCAGTTATTACAATTCCTTCATAACTAGGTTTTTGATTATCCTAAAAAGTAAAACTTAAAATTATTATAGGTATTGGTAAAGCTTAAAAATGTCATGGATTTTATATGAAAAACATATTTCATTATATTACACAATAGAATGGATTTATGCTAAACAAAATTGCTTGAAAGTTCACATAGAAGATGTGTTGTACCAAAGACAATAACGTACAGACATGATTTATAACGCGAAATAATTTATGGATCTTCATAGAGCGCATTCGACTCAACAACAAAAATAATCTTTGCGCATATTTCAGATTGGCTCAAAGCATTTAAAATGTATTTAACACATAAATGTGGTTTGGAGCGAGACTCATAACGACCCCTAGTCGTGAGTTCAAAACCCAGCTGTGTGTCAAAGGATGTTTCTAGTCATACCAGTCATACAATGAAGTAGCTATGAGAAAACTACTACATCTAAAACACAATCCAATCTTGTATGAGGCATAAAAGGCTAATGGCCTACTTCCCTTAAAGAATAATCACAAACAGAAAGTTTTGGCCAAAATAAAGAGTTTTAACATATAAAGAACCTTATAGATTTTGTTCAGGTGAGCAAGCAACATTTAAGGTGCAGGAAATTTGTGAGCGCAATTTTCATTAGGCTCTAAAACTATTAGTGTAACCAATATAAAAACAGCTTAGCGGTTTTAAATTAATCCACAAACGAATAATAAAATTAATGAATTTAAGTTAAAAAAACATTTAATCTTGATGAAATTGAAATCCTATTTGATTTGAATTCGATTCATTTGATACGAATATCCATAGGATACGTTTAATTGTATAAATTTCGTGATAAACCACAACAAATAAAATACTTTAACTAATTTGATCCATTTCAACATGTTCAATGATTCGGTTTAGGCTCGTATGCAAAATTAACATTCAGCAATTTAATGTTCATTCTGTTAGCGCGGTTTTTATCAACGAATAAATTAATGTTAATATGTTATTTGTTTCGTATTGTGTCTAATCTAATACTAAATCAAATCAATGATTCAGCGGGACTTTAAAACTTAAACATTATATTTTGGTATATAGGTTTGTTTACTATTACAATTTACAATATAATATTATTTGGTTAAAATAAAACAACTTGGCTGATATATATACAAATTAATAAAAAAGGATACCAGGAGGATTTCAGGATTATCCTTACTAAACTTTTTAAACGCTTCTTGTCATAGCGCATAGTACCTTATTTGTGGGCATTTACAAAGGCTACAACAGACAGCTCAAATAACGCTTTATAAATAAAATTAAAATTAATAATCAAACAAAACTTACCCCTAACAGTGTTATGCAAATTCCAAAAGTTAAGTTAATTTAAACAAAAAAAGGTGAAATGTAATAGCACAATCAGCAATCATCGTCTTTTATCAAATACCCACAACATATTATAAATTGTTACTATAAATACAACTTACTTTTAATATCAAGTTATCATTCCCGTGTATATCGTATCTCTTCAGTGGGTAGCTCATGTCTGAGCTTCGTGGTCAGCAAGGAAACATCTGGAGCGGTCAATTTACAGGACAGAAGAGAATATCTTGGATTCCTTATACTCTGTAGGTATTGAATAATTTTTATGTCATTGAAATAGACAATTATTCATCTATATATAGTACCTATCAAAGATATTAAAAAGTATAAAGTACAATATAAAAGAGTTTTCAGTTCATCTGTTCTACACCTGGTTGCAAATTTACGATTTTTATTTGCATTTATATGTGTTTGATTTATAACCTTGTTCTTTCATTCTTTGACAATACCCTTTTGGCACATCCCATGACACAATATAAATAGAAATAATCCAATCCAAATCACCGACCACAAACCCAATTAAACATAAATTGTATTAAAACATAAACTAGAATGCTTAAATTACCGGAAATAAAACTCGACCCAAAAAAGACCAGCCATCTTTGCAAGTATGTAGTGAAAGATTTATAATTACTAATTTGTATTCATTTCTATGAATGCTTATAAAACATAGTTAATATCAGATGCCGACCAATTTGCAAGAGTCGCAGAAGAGAGTGGAAAGGTGATGTTCAAAACACCTCAGCTGAGTTACTGCTGGAGAGGAAACCTAAACCGGAGTGTTTCCGCCGATGGCCGACAGTAAGTAGCATAACAAAAGACAAAAATAAAATAAATCCTTTTCCAACATAAATCAGAAACAGAATCTGTTTAAGAAAGTGTGTAGTTACTTAAATAAAAAATGACGCCATATTACTCTGTATTTGTTTACAAATTATTCATGTATGTTCCAAGGCCGTAACTTTATCACAGCTCAAATAATTAAACAGCTAACGACATCTGTTTCCGTCTCTTTATAACGTAAGTTTAGTTAAGGATCTACAAAAATGAAATAAAAAATAGACTTAAGTTTATAAATAATCATAAATTTTATAAATTGGAAGCGTTCAGACACGACTTTGATTCATTCAGACTTCGTGTTCTGACGCACGGAGCTGATGTTTTGTGCTTTTGAATAAACACAATGACTTTATTATTTTAATGTATGCATTATTCTGTACCCAATAAATACTGTGTAATTATTGAAAATTTTATTTTACTCACAAATGAATTCAATTGAAGCTTTCAAATAAGGATAATTCATTACGAAGTACAAACAAACTATATCATTAGGAAGTGCAAGTTATGCGAACATTGTCTAAGGCAGCCGAGCTGAGAATTAATTGTATCACTAAGTTAGCGCTAACTTGAAACTAGATTGCGACAGTACTACAATAGAATAATTAAGAAACTTACAGGCAGCGTAACCGTTTCTTTGCCGAGCCTTTAAAAATGTCTATTCTCTACAAATATGATTAATAACTTACGCATAAAAACTATGCATAGATGTTTAAATTTGTTTCGGTATTCGGTAACGGTATGTTCTTTCGTTACGTTTTTATTATTATAACTACATGATTATAAGTTTAGATATTTAAATAGTATAGCTTAGTGACTATGGTGCGGTCATTATCCTCAAGTGAGACCATGCATTTTGATCCCACTTGCACTTGTGAATATTCCTTTTATGTGCGTAATCCAACACTGGTATTTTATTTTACATTATTTTTATCTTTTAAAAAACACCCATGTTCATGCAAGGACAGTCAAACACTTATTAAAAATTTAAGAAATAAGATATAAATGTGAAAATGACATGAAAATTTACGAATCAAGCGATGCGCTAACCACATCCATACAACTTTCTCACGGTGAAATAGCCAGCAATCATCACGCTACACCAAGGGGACTTTTTGTATCGAAGAAGTCGCAAGGGTCTGCCAAGCTTCCGCGATATATTACATAGTAAACAAATGACACGGAAGGCCGATCATCCGAACATAAAACATATACATCAGGATTAATTTGTTTCAGAAAGTATACCCAAATAGCCCGTGTCCATTATTCTCTACTACTCGTCGTGTGACAGTCAAGGAGAGGGGATACATTCCCCCTCCCGAGGTGGTCAGGATATGCCAAGCGCCTATTGATGATACTGTTGATACCACCTACTTGAGACTCGCACAGCTTGCTAAGAAACTTGGTAAGTCATTAACTTCCTAGTCCGAGATAAAAAAAAATTACAAGAATTGACACTCTAAAACGCATGATAAAGAATATAACTTTCGAATTGGCTGACAAGAGATATATTATTTCTGCAAAAATTATTGGAGTTGTGGGAATCACAATGGTGAAATTTCGACTGCTCACAAAAATGAAAATTGAGAAGTATAATTAAAAATGTTAGAATAACGGACTTACAATTTTAGGTAGATTGATGGCGTCTTGCCGGCCCGTAATTTTTTTTAATAGCCCCCGCTCCCCCCGAGCCTACGGGACGTCCAAAAAAGGCAGTCTACGCAGCCCTTGGACCCGTTTGAATGGGTGCGTTGCCACTCTTTGGTCGGTCGTATCTCCCAGGGAAGACCCCCACTGGGATTCGATTCCACAGTTTGCTAGTTGGCAAATGAAAGTGTCAGCGGACCGTGGAAGACTTCCAGCCAAAAGATTATGCTGATTATATTTTGAATGTCCGTTTATTGACGTGGTCATGACTTGTAACAGAAAGCCAAAACTTTAGAATTGGCCTTGATCCACTTGTTTTATCAGGAACCAGACCATTTGTTTACGCCTTTCTATTCTTTAGTTGCCAATATTATCAGTAGTTTCTATTGAGATATGTTTCTCTTAAGTTTTCCAAGGCTTTCAATAACCGGGACGCAGCCTTTTAACTCAGAGTCACCTGCGGTAGTGCAAGTTAGCAACTTATAATTAACATAGAAAAGACGTTGAGAGACTTTGAGCAAAAACGACACAAGCTAATTGATATTTGAGTTGAAACTGAAGTTGAGACCCTGACTTAATATTCCTCGAGAGTCGACCGACTGGGGATTTGTGGACAAGTTAGGAAAAAGTTAGCCTCGTAATTTTGAATGAATTCAAAGAACTCCCAAGGGGATTCGGAATCGACATTAAGTTCGGCCTATTTTTCAATTGTGTGCCATTTTCCAGAAGTCATAAATAAAACCCTTAGCTTGCATAATCTTACATACCACAAATGTAAAACTTTAAACCGGCTCGGTGCACTCAACTATAACAAAGCTGAAGCCTTACTAAAACCTCTATTATACATTTTTCCTACATCCATATTTTTCATGCTGACTTTCACTTTATAGACCAGGGTCGATACTTTTTGAAACCAAAAAAAAAATTGTAGGATAACAACCATTGGAAAAGGAGGAGAATATTATAAAAATTAAAGGAAAAATAATTTATGAATGATCTTAGGTCGGGAAGGTGAAGGTGGAGTTTTAAGGCTAAAAAACGGGTTTATCTCGATTTCCGCCAAAACTAAAAGTCAAATTGCAAAGTTGTAGATAATAATAAGATCTAAAACTTTTGTATTTACACATTTTTCACATTACCTCAAAACTTATGTGAAAATTTCAAAAAACCAAAGTTTTGGTTTTTTATTTTTATCATTTACAAAAAAAAAAAATCCCACGAAATTTGGTGAAAACTTACCTTTTTATGTCCTAAATGCTGCTTTAGTTTATTAGCTGTAATTTATTTGATTTGAATTATTTATTTTTTTCACCTTATTTTGAATTAATATCGAAAAAGCACCCTAATTTTCAATCGAAAATTCACCCGTCAAAATATCAGTTTTTTTCAAAAAGTTGGTGTGCTTTCTGTTCGTTGAAATCTCTACTTTCCGATGGTAAAAAGAAAAATATATATAGTAAATCTTCTCAGAAAATGCATAAAATCGTATCGAAAAATGCAGTAAATTTGTCACAATTCTCTTAAAGTAACTCAGCCTGCACGTGTATTTTTGTACTTACTCTTGTAAGTGATTTTTTTTGTCTTTTTTGAGAAAATAAAGTCTTTAAACCTAACATACAACGATTGAATGCAGGTGCATGGGACGCAGTAAAATCGTGCTGTGCATTCTGTGAGTGCAACAATTGCTGCCCCTGCTCGCCACACGGCTACTACTTGTCGGAGGAGTGCGATACCACACGATGGCACGATATGCGACAATTTGACAGCAGGGTTGAGCAAGACTGTCAGGATATGAAGATTATGTATCACTAAAAGGAAAATAACAATTGCCAATATTTAAAACGTTTTTCGATCAAAGGCTGTGTATTAGATTACAATTTTAAAATCTGTATAATATCTGTGATGAAGAGACACCAATGATAAGTAGTTTTTATTTTCGTTAAATTGACTCGCAAAATCAACTAAAACTAGTTTAGCTCACGTGGCTATTTTTGATGCTGTTGACAGTCGAAGAAAGCGAAATAGCTAAGTTTATATAACACGTTTATTTTATTTTACACCATTGAATTTTACAATGATACAATCAAAAAGATTTTTCAATCCTCACTTGAAATTGTCATACCAATAAATATGAATCCGAAACATCAGATTTTTTGTAAGTTTCATTTATTAATCAGGTGACACGGTGCATATTCTTATGGATAATTTATTGGTCTTGTTCACACATAAGGCTTCCAGGGTCCTTTTCACAGATGAAGGCATATCGGTTCTCACACCACAGATCATCAAACATGCCATTCCTGTAGATAGATCCACAAAATTCTCCTGTGGTGGCATTATTGGGTTCTCCACCCGAGAACTTGCTGTAACCGGCTTCCTGGAGTGTATCACCTAGAATGATAACACAACATTACAAGTGTAAACGTAAAATCTTCTTCTTTTATTATTAAAGTTGAACAGTGTCGGTTAGAGCATGTGACTCAACGAGGTCAACTATACATTTTTCTTACTATTTGCATATTTTTATTTTCGCTCGTACGGTGAAGGAAAACATTGCGAGGAACCAATAACCATACCTTACAGCCAAAAATTGACTGGCATAAAAAGATCAACTTGCTTATTTCGAAAAAAAAGCAGATTCAGACATCTGGGGCTAAGACCAAAGCTGTCACTACATTTTTAAGGTAGATAAATTTTACTGACTAATTCGTTTTATGAAAACGATTATCAATAAAGTAGTGTATATACACTAGATATATTGTATATAAATATTTTTATGGACTATGCTAAGATCATGAGAAGTGAATTTTAAAAACTAGGAATAAGCGTGATATTTTTATCATGTTATTTACAATATTTAATTAGCTTTTTTGTGACATTCGTAAATCAGAGAACAAATTTTAATTAATAAATACATGTATATGAGCGCTTATTTTTTTAAGTCTTCATAAATAAAACACTGATAAGCCAGGTTTATCAATACGAGGAATAATATATATGGTCTATAATATTTGTACACTTACTATTGATTGTGAGCCATTCGCCGTGCTCTCCCCAGTCGTGGAAGCCGATGAAAGCTACGTCCTTCCAGAAATTACCCAGAATCTTACCTCCGGGGTACTTAGCGAATATTTCCTTTGCCACCTGGAAAATTACGTAAATTTATAAATAAAATATACATATCTTATATTCAAGAAAAATGCAGCTAAATATCGAAACAGGTTTACGATACGTAGGAATTTATATATGAAGGAATCTTGTATTGTAACAAAGCCAGTTCTGAAAAATCGTATAAAACGTTTTATAATTTGGTCTAATTTAAGGTATACTACAAATTTAATTTGTCTGAAATATGTTTCCCATTACAGTATACTGGTGCATACGTTTCCCATTACAGTATACAATTTGTTTTCGTGTTATACGACAGTCAAATAGATCCCTGAAGTCCACAATAGTATAGCTTTCCACTGATAAAAATAATTTTTAAAAGACTATTTCCTACAAAGTCAGAAAACTCATAATATTCGTATAAAATATTTTTTTTTAATATTTTAATATTGAGATTATTTGACAAAGGAGTTTTAAATGCTAGTTCCCGAAATAAATGGTATATTTATAATTTTCATATTCAGTGTACCAGTGTAATTTTGTTAAACATTAAATTAAATACAGACCTGAGCTTCAGTATCGCTGTTGATAATAGCCAGGTATCCTCCTTCTGCAGCGCAGGCCATGTAGGCTCTTGACCAGGTGCGTGGAACCGTGTGGAACTTGTAGCAGCTGCCTGTACGACTGTCAAATACGTACTCTGCAATTAACAAAAAATGCGTTAATTCTTAGTAAATAAGTGTTCACGATGTTTAAGTCAGTTATGTGGAATCGAGAACCCCTCCTAGCTGACCCTCAACTTTGTTTCGTTCGGAAACAAAATTGTGTAGTACCAATATTAAAAATGTATCCCTAATCCCTATACTTAATAGAACTGACTTCAAAAAAGGATAGTTATTAGTTTGACCTATATTTATTGTTGTAATTGGATTGTATTGCAAAACAATTAAAAAAAGAAACGACTCCATTTCCTAAGCAAGCAACAAAATAAGCTTCCAAAACTTTATAGGTATATAATAAAATAATTCTTCAAAAGTATAGTAAAAATCGAAGTTTCAAACATTTGTTAAACAAAAAAAAAGGGAAATATGGTTCAACCCATTTCTGGTAAAACATTTTTGGTACATATATTGATTGTATAATTATTGCATATTTTGTTTAGTTTTAAGTAAATAATACATAAGAAACCACATACCAGGATCTGTCGTACCGCAACTGTTCATAACAAGTGAATTCGAAGTTTTCTTGTAGCAGAAATAGGGATATGTATCCTCGCAGTTGACATCAGCAAATTCCCCATTCTCTGTCATGAGAAGACAGCTCTCTGCGTCTTTATAGTTGTCAGGCTCACCAACCGCCCAATTGTGAGGAATTTGGGAGAGAGGTACTCCTGAAAGCAAGTATTTTGTAATGAGAAAACCCTAGAGGACTGGTTTTTTTCTTAATGCATATATTTCACGGTTTTATCCTTATTCCCCAAACTATGCCGTAGACATGACTCAGTATAAAGAATAATATAATTCTGTCGTCTTTTTTTAAAAACACGTTAAATTTTTGCTTGTAAGTTTAATTAGGTTGTTAAAACTTTTATTGGTTGATAAAATTACAACACTAATTATATCTTAATTCCGTGAATAATTGCGTACGGCTACTATAACTAATATAATAAAGAAAATAATAAAGAAAACTAATTAATTCGGCATACATGTGATATTCTCATTAGTGAATTCACCTGAACAATGCTACTTTGCCTATTTGCGATTTCAGCTAACCGTTATGTTAATAGATTTAACTAACAGACTACCTGACTAAGATATTCTTGAATATAATAGTGAAAAACTGATAGAGCGCCTCTCAACCCTGAGGTCGTTTGAATCACGTGAACCAATCTTCTGTTTCTTTTGTAAAAACTCGCTCGTTCAGTGAAGGAAAACATCGTGTAACCTTAGAATTGCTAATAAAAAAATTATCACGAAACAGATACATAAATTACGCTGTGGAAAAGTGGAACTCCTTGCTCCTTTCAATCTAAGAGTTGAAAAGACAGACAACATGGGCTCTTTGCGGCGGTTAAATAGGACTTGTATCGAATCGGCCGCATCTCACTTAACGTAAAACCGATTTAGCTAAGCTTTTTCAGCTTTTTTAGCTTTTTTAAAAAGAAGTGCAGCTTAAAATCAATACTACTATAATAAAGAGTTTATTTGTTAGGTGTATTCAACGCAGTAATCTCAGGAACAAGTAGTTCAAATTAAATACAAATCATTTATGTTTCACTATATTATTTTCAGATAATAACGGAACACATTACGCAGTCTTTGTTTAAATTAAAGCAAATATAACGATATCATAAACAGTATGTAATTTGAAAGTACACATTTATTACGCGAATTTTTTTCGAATGTAGAAGTGTAGGTGCGTTGCAAAAGTATTAATTGATATGCGAGTTAGTGATAATTAATTGTTGATATCGCTCTTATCATTGTAAAGGTCATGCTGTGATGATAGTCCATCCAGGAAATATCACTTTTTGAAGAGTAGCATCGGCATGCTTATTCTTAGAAATGGATATATAATCTTTTTTTATAAGACTCTTAAGTCACATTTTTAACACTATGATAAAAGGATGTTTGTAATAGATCAAAGTTAAAGGGGGATACGGTTGTTTTTGTGTACTATACACATAGCTCTGAATAACCGGAAATAGGTGAAGTCGTCACGCCTTCATTTTGGTGTTCGATTCAGATCAGGGCGCAGATTTAATTTTTGTCGTGTGCTTCCGATGAATTAAGAGGACCCGACCAAACGGTAAAACTGACAGGGTCACTTCATACAACGCTAAACTTTGTAATAGAATTAACTATTATGTTTGTTATTGAAGATATAGAACACATGTATTTTTTACTTGGGAACCCCCAAAAACTAACACATTGAAATACATTGTTTATAATGAATAAACGCTTAAGATAATACGTATATATACTAACCTTCCACGGAAAAGAAGTCTCCTCTAGAGAATGTTGCATGAATGCCCAGAAATACCCCACACTTGAGCTTGGGAGTTACATCCATCATTGTCACCATGGCCGTCTTTAGCTCATCATTTAGAGGTGATGCAATTTTCGTTCCTGAATTTTAATAAATGCTTATGGTATATTTATCGGAACATCTAAATTTCAGAATTAAAATACATTCGTTTAGTTAAACACGTTACAACTAAATAAAAGTAATTGGTACAATTATTTAACATCCAAATTGTTCTCATCTCAAAACAATAACGAACATTTAAATGTCGACAAAGCTAAAACCCGGAAACCTTCAATTTATAGAAATCAAATTTTGTGATTATTATTGTATATTATTGAAGTTGGGTTGAAAATTGCTTTTAAAATATACCTTCAAGGTGACATCTTAGCCGAGCTTCCCTCCAATTCGCGGGGATCCTTTGCAGCTTTAGGTAGCCTCCAGCTTTGGGAAAATATTTATAGTCGCATCGAAACCGACTCGCATCTACGATCATAGTACCAAAATAGTGTTTTATTTTTCATTTAAAGTGTCAATTGGAAGAGGATAAAAACAACGTTTATTGGTTAAAACTGCTGACGAAAATTAAAAATATTTTGCAACATGGTTATGTATTACTTTGAAAAATATTACTAAAATGAAAACTGTACGGTTTCACCACCAAGATACTAAAGGGAATGCTGATGATATTTGCAGATGTACAAACTACACTTCTATAGGAGGAGCTTAAAAGCATATATTTTTTATCCAGTATGCTCTATGAACAATATTGTTGACGGTCATACTTTCGAATCCTGGCTGTGCTGTGATTTTTATTTTTAATTGCACATTTAAGACGCCCTCGTATGGTAGGGAAACTGATCCATTCTTTGGAACCAGAAACCTGAGGCACGTGTCAAGCACACAGAAGTCTGTTCACCTACTTGTTTACTAGAAAAAACAATTGATAACGAAAAAGATACATAAAGCCTTGTTGAAGCTTCACTGGATTTTTATGCCATATAAATGATACTTGAAGCAAAAGTTATATAATCAAAGTTTTATGTTTTATGTTAGACACACTATTGAGTTAATATTAAATAATATAATAACTTACCGAACGATGCGATAACTGCCAGCAATATCGTGAGTACTATGCAACGGTACATTATGTTTTATGTTGCATCGCGGATGTAAACTTATATTTATGTACCTCTTTTGTACTTTTACAACGTACGACATATTATGTTGTCAACATGTGTGCGACAATATATACACGATATATGAATATAGGGTTGCAACCTCTTTAAATAATGGTGAAAACATAGCCAAGGAACCATTAAATAATATAGTAACATCTTGAAGCGAGTGTTACTTTGTCCAAAAATGCTTATATATTTATGATTATGACTCTCGATTAAAAGAAAACTAGCTTTAGGTAAGAGAAATACAATTCCTTAGATCGAAATAAATCATTTTTGCGAAAATACGTTTCCAAACAACCCAACTTTTTACACTCTACAGGCACTTCAATTGATATTTATAGTCGTACGATAAAATAAATTATAGTTCGTGGATCGCATAGCTTAATATAAACCTTATTGCGAATAAACCGAAATAAGGGGTTTTCCTTATTAAATGAAACATCAAATTGTATCTCAAAATAGTATATAAATTAACAATAAACACATACAAAGAAAAACTTAAATACATTTATAAAAAAAATACAGTAATTACAATTCCTTCATAACTAGGTTTTTGATTTTCCTGAAAAACAAAACTTAAAATTATTATAGGTATTGGAAAAGCTTAAAAATGTCATTGATTTTATATGAAAATCATATTTCATGATATTGCACACTTTATAGATTTATGCTAAACAAAATTGCTAGTTGCTGTTCTACCAGACAAATTAAATCCAGGCACGAGTTTTAACGCAAAATAATTTATGGAACTGTATAGAGCGCATTTCCAGCATAAAGAATCTTTGCCCATATTTCAGATTGTCTCAAAGCATTTAAAGGATTTAATACAGAAATGGGTCTAATAAGTGAGCTGTGGCTCACTTGAGAGAGAGTTCACAGTGACGCAGGACAAGTCAACTAAGTAATTGTTGTTACCCTTTTTATCCAAAGTCCTCACAAGATGTACTGCTGGGTATTCATTGCTAGTTTTAGTTGTATTCGAATGGTTAGATTTAAGTGACTCAAGACTTTTACGTGATGCCTTGCTGGTTGCTGTCGTTGAATCATCTGGCTTAAACTGAAGACAAATAACTAGGATTTAGTAATATTCTGATAGCTCTTCAACGCTAGAAGAATATTAAAATATGATATTGTGAATATAATTGTTTTTATTACACTTCCTTAGACACCTTCAATTGGCAACAGCTGAGTTTGTGGTTTGGAGCGCGACTCTTCATTTACAAAAAAAGTCAAAATCATTTAATCATATAGGTAACAAAATGTACACCTATGAACGTCAAAAAAGAAATATACATGAAATGCTTCTAATTTTACATTTACTGCCAGTTCTCAAATCAAGGGCGTAGAACGGAAGAGATGAATAAACTCTTTTTAATCGCCAAGTTTTTTGTTTTACACAAAGTTTGTAAGGAGCTGCAACCATTACACCATGTTCCACATGACATCTAAAGTAATAAATAATAATAAAATAAATTAACATGGTAAAATAGGAGCACGCACTTATAGGCCGGGAGATAGTGACACAAAATAGTTAGTCAATTTTTGGACGGTTCCAAATGGCCGCAATGCCGCCGTAAAATTACCATTTTTTTTTAAATAATAAAACATTTTTTTTACCGAATTGAAGTTATGTATTTACAATTATTTTTCATAAATTTAAATTTAATCGCGTGCTTTACAGCGTGCGTGGTCACGGTTACTGAAAGTTAAATAATTAAAAATTAAATAATAAAAATAAAAATTAAATAATTAAAATAAAAATTAAATAATCAAAATTAAATAATTTAAATACAAACTTCAATCCGGTAAAAAAATATTTTATTATTAAATGTGTGAAAGTTATGTCAATAAAAGACATTTTTTTTTTGCTAAACGATTTTCAACAGTCCCTGTATGATTAAAATAGAAGTCTGATAATGCCATACCTGTAAGAGGCGACGAAAAAACAAAATTTGCAGATTTTCGGCGGTATGGCGGCCATTTGGACGCGTCCGTAAAGTATGTCATGGTGATTTTCGAAAATGGCTGAACGACGAAGATTAACTGTGCAAAAATTAGCCTGGTACAAATGGTTGATTTTTTTAAATCATCGCATTCGCGTCGGTATGGCGGGCTGTAAGTCACACCGGAGAAGTATGGCATGACACTGCCGCCTCTTATGTTTTATGGACTATCGGAAAATACTAGATTTTTGTGGAACAAATCGTTTTAAAGTCGTAAATAATCCGATGAGTTTTACTAACGCCCACGCGCTTGGGCCGCCGGTACCAGCGCTATGACCATCTAAATTCTTTTTTTAATTTCGTAATAAGACCCCTGTAGAACCGCCATACTGGTACAAATGACTAACTATTCTATGTCACTATCTCTCGTCCTATTATGGTTTAGGCTCGTATGCAAAATTAACATTCAACAATTTAATGTTAATTCTGATAACGCAGTTTTTATCAACGAATTAATTAATGTTAATATGTTATTTGTTTCGTATTGTGTCTAATCTAATACTAAATCAAATCAATGATTCAGCGGGACTTTAAAACTTCAACAATGTATTTCGATAAAGAAATAAATATTAGGTATTATCTATAACTTTTACTAACCGGTGGTTCCAAAAATTTCCCCAACTCTGGTGAGTGATCAACGAGGTTCCAGAACTTCTGAACTTTCTGCTGTACTTCGATTGAATCATCTTTTCCTGGTGTAAAGTTAATCGCTAGGTGCTGGGTCTTTAGCGGTTCACCACATGCTCGGCCCGTGTCGAGCTTATCCTCCGGCGCCACCTTCAAAAATGTCCCAAAAAAATATTACCTTTATCCAAACTAAATTTAATAAGGGGATTCTCTACTAAGCGAAGTTTGTACAGTTTTGTTTACTATTATGGTTTACAATAAATTATTTTAATAAAATAAAATAACGTGGCTTATAAAATATATATAAATTAATAAAAAAGAGGGCCGGAAAATTTAAGGATTATTCTACTAAATAAACCTTTTAATTCCTTACAGTCATAGCGCAGAGTACCTTATTTGTGGGCATTTCGCAAATGATAAACAGGAAACTCAAATAACGCTTTATAAATAAAATTTAAATTAATAATATCAAAAAACTTACCCCTAAGAGTGTAACGCAAATTCCAAAATTTATGTTAATTTAAACAAAAAAAGTGAAATGTTATCATAGCACAATCAGCAATCATCGTCTTTTATCAAATACCCACAACATATTATAAATTGTTACTATAAATACAACTTACTTTTAATATCAAATTATCATTCCCGTGTATACTGTATCTCTCTTTAATCGGCAGCGTATGTCTGAGCGTTGTGGTCAGCAAGGAAACATCTGGAGCGGACAATCTGTTTCCATCGGTTTCTGTCCAGCGCCTCCCTTATAACAATGTAGTTGTGAGGATTATGATACTTTCACTTGATCGGTCCATGTGGTTGGTAAACGTCCAATTGATCTTTTGCTTTGCTACCAACCACGAGCGGTTTCTCCAATTTCTAATCGCATCTGTGTATTGTATGGTTGAAATAATACGCTGTCGGCACATGGGAGATAGGCGAGTCCATATGCGAAGTTGGGTAAGGATCGATGTATTCGTATTCCACGGTATTCTCAGCATTGGCATCCAGCACCACATCTCAAAGGCATCAATTTTCCAACCTTTCTCGTATATCGTATAATACACGTGAAATCATGAAATTATTTTTTTATATTATAGTTGTACATGCGTATAATACATGCAAATGTATTATACGCATGTACAGAGAAATTACAGAATTTTAAAAAAATTTAAATTAAACGATTAACTAAAAATAAAACTTACATATATAAACTTAAATATTGAACGTAAGCTCGTTTGCCCCCCTACAATATAAAAAAAACGATGTCGGTGAAAAATATGATTGAAATAGTTTCGCATGTAACAACCAATAGGCGGTTTAATATTTTACGTAGACGTAGCGTAGCAAACGTTTGTATGCTAGTAACTACTACATAATACCGGTAGTATTTGTTTAAGGTAATATATGTAATTATTATTACTTTTGTCATACGTAACTATTATATCATTAATAATATCAAATTTATTTCAGTGTTATTTTTGGAGGTACCCGTTTAGATAATTTGAAATATAATGTAGCTAAGAATAAACTAAATTACAACTTGTTCACTATATCTTAAATTTCAGATAAACTAAGATTCTTTATAACATAAAAAACTGTAAATTATTTGTATGCGCAGCCCTTATATATCCATTATAATGGTATTGATAAATCGGTTATAAATTAAACGTTAGCTTGGTATCGGGAGATTAACGACTCCAACCGTTCGTCATTACGACAAGTGATTTACAACTGTTTAGCTGTACACATTGATGCTGTGACTATGCTAGATTTATGCACAAGTCATACTTCGTTAAACGGAATAAAAGCTAGTGCATAAATCATTGCGTAAAAAAGGGAATGTGGAATTTTATCGCACTGAAAAGTGTTAAAAAGGAAATGTATGTTGATATACTCGGAGATGTACCACACTAAAATAACTAAGTTTTAAAAATAAACAGCAATCACTTTAAGGGGCGCTTTACAATCTTATCAAAAAAGGATTGATCACTTAAAACTATTGTCCAAAGACTGGTTGGACTTAGCGACATGTCGGAGCAACGGCGCTGGTGTCAGCTGCCATTGTCATTAAGATTTAATAAAGTCAAAGTCTAATCAGTTTATAACCGTTAATATTTGTGGTTTATTCAATTTGCCAATATTACTAGATCTACAAATTAACAGACTATTTGATAATCTATATTAATAGTTATTTCATAGTCATTAATAATAATGTCGGAGCAATGGCGTTAGTATCAGCTACCATTGTCATTATAATTTAATAACATCAAAGTGAAATTGGTTCAAAAACCTTAAAAATAGTGGTTTCTTTGATTTGTCAATGTTTATATATATATAAATTAACGAGAGTTTGAGTTTGAGTTTGATTCGTCACGAAACTTTATCACAAATTTGGGTTGCTATAAATCCAGGCACTGGTTGGCGCGGCCCTCATTTCGATTGAAGGGTCGAACCAAGTCTTTAGGACGTTAAAGTCGAAATTAAAATGCTTGATCCCAACGAACAAGTTAATAATAATAATAATAATTTTTATTAATCAGACAAATACAGTCCATTGATTGATTAGTGAGTTAGTAACAATAGTTTCTTAAGATCTATGTTAGAGAATTAGTAAAAATAAGGAAAAAGTAGTTAAATAAAAATAAAAAAAACTATCAGGTACAAAGCCCTGCGGAGATGTCGGAGCAGTGTCGTAAATAGGGGCACTCCATTCTTTCGACTATATCGTAAGATGTTGCTGGAGCTGCCCCGCACCCGGCGCACCAAAGAAGCGCACCGCTTTCGCATAGTGGCGAAAAAGCAATCCACCCGCGCCTCTGCAAACATTCTTGATGCACTAATCATTAATGCTCATGTCTTTAATAATTTATCTGCAGGTCCAGTTTTTTTTTAAATTCTCGTTATTATGCCTAGTTCCACTTTGTCTGAATTGAATTTTCCCCTCGATTTGACCTCTTCTAACCCTCCTCACAGTTTCGCCAGAACTTTTCATTACGTTATCACTTATATTTCTTGCTTTGTTAAATCATATATTCATAGTTTTAAATATTTCATTACAGAACTGGCGAGAGCACTGGCGTAACCACTTTTCCAATAATAATTCCAGTATTCACAGGCGAGTGGGCCCGCCGTCTCGTGAGTCCCGTCCCTATGATTCATGTTTTACAGACCTATTGCAAAAACTTCCTGTTGCGATTTAAATCACCTCAATATTTTGGATATGTAGTGCTATTATAGAATATTTATTGCTTCATGTTCATGCGATGATTCCGAAATATTTGTTTAATCATTTTACTTGGTAACAGATTCTAGGCCCTAACCAAGCCGCCTCCGAGTCTGGAAGTACTACATATAATATGAAAATATACTAACATTGACATCAGCGTAAAAGGTGCATCCATCTGACGATTGGGAAAGCGGCATGGGTTCCCAGCATTGACAGCAAAGACAGGACAGAACGAAAGTTACACAGTCAGTCACAGTTTGCATGCACCTATATACCACCATAAAACGATGGAATATTGGTTGAAAATTGTATGGAGTTAAACTGATCATGGGTGAAACATTGTTTTTTACAAAGGTATATTTGACAAGTTTGATAGTTCGAAAGCAAATGAAGGTTGAGGTTTTATGTTCAGTGACATTAACCCATCCAAAACGTTGAAGAACTTATATAAAAACTAGCTGACCCGGCAAACGTTGTTTTGCCATGTATATTAAATATTTCTTAATTTTTTTAATTCAATTAAATAACTATCTACAATAATTAAAAATAGGGGTTGATCGTAGAGGGGCGAAAATTAGGGGTTGTATGTATTTTTGTATGATGTATCATAAAAAAATAAAAACAATGAAAATGGTCTAAAAAAGAAAAAAAATTTTTTTGGGGTGGACACCCCTTATCACTTAGGGGTTTGAAAGATAGATAGTAGCCGATTCTCAGACTTACTGAATATGCATAAAAAATTTCATAAGAATCGGTCGAGCCATTTCGGAGGAGTATGGGAACAAACATTGTGACACGAGAATTTTATATATTAGATAAACGTATTCACACTTTATACATTTCAATCTCTAAGTAATACAAGTACTTTAGTGCAATTTTTAATAGTTTAAAATTTTTAAAAGATTCATACTTATAATAATAAAATAATGAGCAAACTCATCATCTTAAATATCATTCGATATTAAATTCAGCTTTGGAAATAATTTGGCTCTATTTTCGTAAAAGCAAAGAATTTAAAAGTGAAAATCAAAAAGTTATAGCAGTGGGCGTATTTAGGCCTTGGACAAAACTTTAAACTTATTGAAATTTGTATAACGAACTCCATTTTCTTCTGACCGACCAAGTAAATATCAAAGCTTGAAAAATCTTCTAGAAATATATTTTTTTTCAGACCAACATTATACTTTATTAGATCTTTGCTCTCAAACATCACACATGTTACAAGAGGACCAACAGATACTTATGAAAATATGCTATAGAAAGGTTATCTTTTTATATATGTGTGAAAATTACATGAGAACTTCAGAAGGCGCAGCGCTACCCAGATCCATGCTACTTCCTCGCAATCGAGCATCCCGCAATATCGCAGCACCCAACTCATACCCACTCATTGTATTGTATTGAAGAAGTCGGATGAATGGATCAGCCAAGCATCCGTGATTACAAACTGTAAATTCATATTTGTGTAGTAATAAAGAAAATAATAATAATAGCAAATGATTAACACAGCAATGTTTCTAAAACGCCCCAGCGAAATGTCACGGTGTTGCTGAAAATGTCCAGCGAGTAATTTGTATTGTAAATCATAAGAATCTTTGTCACTCATGAGAAATAATACTATTTACACTTATTCTTCGCAAACGAACTCAAATACATCTGCTACAAGCAGATTCTATGTATGTTTCAGAATAATAATAATAATAATTATTATTGCATTATTAATGAATCCATACAACAATGAGTATTAGTTGCGTTAGTAAAAGTTCTAGATGTTTTTTTTCTTTTTTAGTGGTCTAGTATTTGTATCCCCTTAGGGTAAAACCCTCCTCCACATTTTTCCATTTCTCTTTGTCTTGAGCAACATTCATCCAGTTTTTTCCCGCTTTTCTTTTGTCATCCTATACATCTCTTTCCAGTAAGTCCAGTCCATTTTGTTATTTCAAGTGTCCATCTTTTATTCCGCGTCCATCTTACAAATGTTTGTTACTAATGTCAACATCTTGATTTGTTTATTCTCCTCAACTTTAAGATGCTTCTTTCCATTCCATACTGACAAGACAGGATTTTTCTTGTTGTTTTCTTGGTGAAAACCTAAGTTTTTCTTGCGTATGTCAGGTAGAATATTTGAATCCTTTATTATCTTCTTGTGTTGTAGACTGTAATTTCCATTCAGAATTTCCTTGTGTTCAAATATGGATAGGTTTTGAGTACTTCTCAAATCGGCATGAAGCTTACGCAATGCATTGCCCCATAGCGCTTTTGCGTCTCTTTTAATCTTTAGGAAAGTGGGTGGTTAACCTTGAGTGTCTTAAACACATTTTCGAATTGTGAATTGGTCCAAAGAGTGATCTCAGAATCGAGACTTAGCGCCAAGTGAAACAACTTGTCGCATTCCTCGTTGGAACAAGTATTGACTTTGTCCTCAACAAAAACTATGAGCACAAATTAATTTAAATTTTCATTAAAATATCTATAATTTTACAACAATATTCGTTATCTTTTATTTTAATGCAAACCCTACTGCCGTTTGAAATATTAAAATATTCTAGAACTTTTGACTTTTCCATCTGTATAGGTGAGCCATTATCCAATTGTTTTACAACTAGCCAAAAATATAAACGATGAAATTTTGACGAGGGTCTCGACATCAGGTATGCAAGGATAATACTGCATATTTAATACCTCATTTCAAATACGGCTTCTAACTGAATATGGAGAAATTCTAAATTAAAATTAGATTTAGCTTTTACTGTATGCCACCTTATATAGAATCCTTTAAAGTCAAATAAATCTTTGAAAATGCAACAATTTATTATAAACGCAATGCGATGGTCACATTTCTATACCTTTTATCTCATATGTTATCTCTTTTCACAGCGTACAAACAGAAAGACACGAAATAGAATTTTAATTAGAAAAGTGTACATAAATGTAAGTGGCCAATTTAAGTAAATTTAACTTCACAGCATTGTTATGTGCTTTTATTATAGGCTTCACATAAATAATTGACCTAGACTCAGCCAAGTCTAGTGTTTTTCAACGATGTTCACAAATGGCATATTTAAAAAAAACTAAGTTAAAATTAATATTATTTGCAATTGTAAAGCTTAAAGTGCAATTCAAACTTAATTTCTGGTTTCATAAATCACTTTGCAATTAGACACATACGCTTCTATACACTTAACACATAATACTACATACATGAATAATAAGAAATAGTGTAAAATATGAATTAACACATCGTTGCCTTAAGTGTGCAAAACAAGCAACTCCAGTAATTAACAAAATAAAAATACAACAAGTGGAGGGACTCCAGTCCAATCCAAGTCCCTATTAAATATATATTATATTTTAAATTATAAGACAAAAAAGAGCTACAACTAGTAGAAGGATATGAATAATATAGGCGAAAAATGTTTGTCTCAGGAGACAAAAAGGTCCAAGGTCCAAAGAAGATTTTCTCCAAACTATCAAATCGGTTCACCATAATAATGAACGGTTGAATCGCTTTGCTCATTTATTAATAACGTTTTAATTTTCTAGTTCTCATAAAAAAATAACACAATAATAGGGGGAAAAGTTATACGCCTTCTAGTATTGTTTAATAACACAATTTAATTATTCGTCTATTATTTTAAAACCATTGTTTTCTTATTTAGTAATTATTTTGTTGAGATTTGTAAGTAATATCTATGCTTGCTATTGACGTTTCAATTCGATATCAAGGCGGTATTAATTGGAATATGATTAATTTTCATAAAAAATAGAACAAAGTTTAATTATATGCATTTAAAATATAGCATTTATCAATCATACGGGAGATTTAATTATTTTATTGGCTAGCATTTGGGATAATACAGCTCCTACTACCATTTCGTGTTTGATTAAAAAGTGATTTATACATGCAGAATTAAAATTTAAAAACAAAATCTAAGTATATAAGAGCTTTGACATAAACATACTATTATTTTGGACGTATTAAAAGTTTACCTTTTTCAACTTTCGCCCTTTACAAGAAACAGGCCATTGGCAAGACATGGCATTATAAATATTAATATAACATTAAGGCTTTACGGGTGCGTCGAGTTAACAGCCGCAGGTGGCTTCGCTCTGCTAAGGAGAAATAATTTTATTATAATGACAACTTCATAAAAAGCTTTCTCGGTGCTATGTGTTTCTGTATTTACTCCATTTAGGCAGACACATAATTAATGGTAATGTTAAAATTGTTCTCATTATTTTCATATGTGATACGATATACTTTGTATATCTCGTATGGCCGCGAGCGATAAGCCCACACGCGCGTGAAGTCCCATTTTTTTAATGAATATTATACCCTGGCCATGGTAATTCAAGTTCCTGAATTAAAGCGAAGTACATAGATACATATAACATCGTGCAATAACGATGTTATATGTATCTATGTACTTCTATTCTATCTCTTCTCTTCTATTTTAATTACATAACTAATTTAAAATACATATTCATATTTATCTATATACATGACATAATTTTATACTTAGTGATATATTATTTATTTAGAATAAGGAAAACAACACGTAAATTACTTTTCCTTTAAGTTCGTTAACGATGTAAATGTTCTTAAAATAATTTGAGGAAGTTGAATATAATCTAATTATTTTTTAATAAACAAGTTATAAGTGTTATTATAACTTTTTTAAGGCTTTTAATAGCTTACATAAAAGATTGAATACTCTTATATAAAGACTTGACTAAAGACTAATAGATACGAATGGGCGAACCTAGGGTGTTTTTTTAGGATGGGCCTAAGGCCCAGCGTCTATTTTCTTAGGACTTTGATTAGAATTTTTAATCGACACGTTCCTGTGTCGGGTTAGTACCTAGTGATAAAGCTTCAGCATTCAGCGGATTTTGTTTTTTATATATTTGTTTTAAGTGCTTTTTTATTATTTTAAAGCAAAGAATTGTATCAAGTGTAGTGTAACGAGATGATTTAACGCTATAGACCGTTTTCCAGCTGAGCGGCTCTCAGGCACTTTGAACGAAACAGGGTGACCAAGAAATTTTCAAATAAATCAAACTTCACGTCTTGAAATGTACCAGATTTGTTTCGCGCTCATACATTTTCTCTTTTATTTATTTATTCATTTTATTTTCATTATTTCCGATTTTTACAGTAACTTAATACTAATACAATAGAAATATAATCTAAAAACCTAATATAAACATAACAAGTAAAAACTTAAAACCTAAACCTTTTTATAACTAATTATAAATAATGCAATTCTTGTGAATTCAGCCAGTGTGCAACTAAATATATCCGTCTTACAAGCAATAGTGTTTAGGG